CTTTTCCTAATAAATATTTATGAAGCAAATTTTCTGTCCTTCTACAAAACAAGTTAATAATTTCGGTGATATCAATTTTTGCAAAAACTTCGGATTCGATACAGATCATGGCCAAATATGTAAGTTTTCTTGTGCCATATTAATTCTTCAGTAATTTTAAATCTACGGTCGCCTTTTGTTTTGGGTGCCCAAATTCGGTGCTCGAACTGCACTCGTACTAGAAGCGGCTCTGGATGGCCTAATACTATTCGCCGAAACAAAAGGAAAACAGGAAAACAGTGATAAATAACAAAGAAAGCATCTAGGATGATCTCAACAACAGACAAAACAGTACGGGAAAACTATTCCAGGCACTAACTAGAGGATTTCTCAACAACAATGAAATCTCAAAAAAACGAAGACGGCAATATATGAAACAATATACCAACGTTGGGATACCAAGAGCAATGGAAAGGGCCATGCTAGGGATTAGTTTGAGAGACAGGATTCGAAATAACGTCATTCGTGAAAGAACAAACATTACTGATGTCTCAGAACGTATTGCAAGGCTCAAGTGGCAATGGGTCGGACACGTTGCCCGAGATAAACCCGAAAAATGGACACAAAGATTAACAAACTGGAGACCAAGAGAGAACAGGCGAGGAGTAGGCAGACCGCAGAAGAGGTGGACAGACGATATCAAACACCGGGTCGCGGGCAAGCAGTGGATGAGAATTGCCAAAAGTAGAAATCGATGGAAGCAAATGGAAGAGGCCTATGTCCAGAAGTGGACGAACACAGGCTGAAGAAGAAGAAGAAGAAGAAGAGAATACCAACGTTGACATACGGAGCAGAAAACTGATTATTATGTATGTATGATGCAGTTTTATAGTCATGTCAGACCGGGTTGTGCTAGTTTGGGATATAAGTGACTGCCAAACTAGTTGTTTGAAATCATCTCCAGTCAATGAATCCTAATAGGATCATCTTAAATAAAAAGTACTATCTCTACAGCACTGCCCATACATCACAAACATTAACTGTCTGGTCTTTATTGTTGGAAGTTTAATATATATATATATATATATATATATATATATATATATATATATATATATATATATATATTCGGTTTTATAACATCTTACGACGTTGTCCGACTCACAAATGCCACTGTATTCTGTCTTGAGTTAGGTCTTCGTCCAGATTTCGAGCGCTAATCGCTTTCCTAACTCCCAGGTTCCAGCTCTGTGGTGGTCTTCCTCGTTTCCTCTTCTCTGGGGGTTGCCACATCATCGTTTTTTTAGGCAATCATTCGTCCCCCATTCGGCTCACATGCCCATACCATATGAGCTGTTTTCTCCCAATATCCTCAACTATAGTGCTCTCTATACCCATTTGTTGTTTAATCACTGCATTCCGTATTCTGTCGGCTCTTGATATTCTCATCGATCTTCTCATGGCATCCATTTCCGTGGCTTCGACCTTTTTCTTATATTTCTCGGTTATTCTCCATGTCTCAGATCCATAAAGTAGGCTAGTTTTAACCATTGTCTCATAGATGTTCCATTTTCTTTTCTTTTATATTTCTTTACTCCATAAAACTCCGTTCAAACTTGATATAGCTCTTCGTGCTTGTACAATTCGATGTTCTATTTGTCGTTCGTCTTTTCCACTACGGTCGAAGATGACGCCCAGGTATTTATATTCGTCACATGGATTTATTTTTTGATTGTCATCGATATCGAGTTGTTCTGCTTCAGCTCCAATTGAGAGTTATTTTGTCTTTTCTAAATTGATATTTAATCTCCATTTTTGGTATTCTTCAATTAGTTTTCTAAGCATGTATTCCATGTCGTCTTTGTCATTTGAGATCGCCACCTGATAATCTGCAAACTGTAAAGTATATATGTAATCCTGATCGTTCAATTGTATACCCATTCCTTTGACTTCCTTTTTCCATTGTTTCAGAGCTGCAGAGATATAAATCTTAAATAGAGTCGGAGAGATATAACATCCTTGTTTGAGACCCTTAGTAACTGCAAATTTTTCAGTTAGGAGGTTTCCGAATTTAATTTGGGAGTTTGAACTATAATATAGATCTTTGAGAGCACTGACCAATGTTTGATGTATGTTTGATGTGCCCAGGACTTCCCATAGTTTGTTTAGCGGGACTGTGTCATATGCCTTCTCAAGATCTACAAAAGTCATATGTAACTCTCTATTTGTCACAATTTTCTTTTCTATAATTTGTTTAAGACAGAAGACCTTATACCTATACATAAAGAAGACCTATACATGAACGACCTGCTCTAAATCCTCCTTGTTCTTCGTCTTCAGACGATTGATATATATAAATATATATATATATATATATATATATATATATATATATATATATATATATATATATAAGATGGCAGAATTCAGGAGGTAATAGTATTATATATTGATCAAGAACTAAATTGAGCCAAAGCAGAGTGGATAGAAAATGGAGAGTACAAAGGCAAGCCCTGAATTCTATTGATTCAGGGCAATATGACACTGAATTCAAACATACAAATACTCAAAGCATCTAATACAACAAGAGACATTTTACTACAAGTAAAGTGGCTGATGATAGTTTCTCCAATAAAAATAAAAGAAAATTTTCAGCTTTTAGTAAAGAATCTAGGGTTCATTCTACCAAACCAAGGTTAATGTATAATAGCGTTGATTTGAAGTATTGGATAATAATATTTCCCCCATATTTCAATCAACGATAATAATGTTATAAACTCTAGACAAACTAGAGAAGTATCAGTTGATAGTAAATTAATAAATAGTGAAACAACTAGTTCTGCTATAGCATATAGTGGTAAACTTAAAGAAAGTGCTATTGTAAAAAAACTAAGTAAACTTGAAAAATGCTGCATAGAAAGAAAAAAAAAGCATGATGAAGTTAAAGCAGAAAAGGAAGCAATAGTGAAAACTAATCAACACAATCCCCATTTGGAACTAGACAATATGATTATAGATACAGGAATAATATTGAAGTCAAACCTTTATTTTTACATCTGGGTAAGAATGATAGTGGTAGATGAAAAGTATGTATCATATCGTCAGGTAGAGTTAAATTTTCATGGTATATGTGTGGCTGACATTCAAGTTTCTAACGAAACAAAAGAACTTCAAGGAAAGACATCAGCAACCATGAGAAAAACTTATTTGTCAAATTAAAAATAATTTTCAAATAACAAAGCTGGCATAACAAGAAAACGAATACTGGTTTTAGTGTCCCAGTAGGATTTTTTTCGTCGTTTATGAGGGGGTTGGTCAAAATATTCAAAACATACTCTTTTGAGTATGTTTTGAATATGGTAAAAGAGTTATTACCTCTTTCTGGTTAACCTCCACCCCACGAAACTCCCGGAAGACTTCCATCACCGCATCCACCATGCTCCTGTTTTTTGTGAAACCGCACTGCCTGGGTAACAGCCATCCTGACTCCAGCCCAATGACATCATTAATATGGATAAAATAAATGTATTACCAAAAGTGATTTCTCCAGAAAAGAAAACGGACGGTGTGGAAGTTTGTCTTCCAAGAGCAGGGGAAATTAGTGACTACAATTTGCAGTGTTGCTGAACAAAGTGGAAAAAACATATAAACATAATGGATGAAATTGACTATGTAAAAAGAATTCATCTTGAAAAGACGAATCAAGTTTGATGTCGGAACAAACGCCTAACCCCTAAAATAAAGAGACATACAGTAGAATGCGAATACCTTATTTTATAAGCTACCCCTTTATTACAAAGACAAGGACATTGGCCATCACTACCTCTGAATCGTTTTTACTTCAATACAGTATCCTACTATCTGTTGCGACACATCAATACTAATTGTAAATTTAGATTGTTACCCATAATAAATAAGAAAAGCCTTGATTCATTTAGCCATTAATTATTAGTTATATGATAAGTATTATTATTGGAGTAAAACTCGACTTAAGAAGGGTGTGTTCGGAATAATATGACCATAAATCGTAGATAACATGGAGCGCAATTTGTTTTAAGTAATAGTTTATTTATATTTATAGTCAGTAAACATGAGTTAGATATTAAAAATGTCCCAGACACGATTTCATGCAGAATTTTTTATAACTTTATATATTATTTAAATACTTGATTATAGTTGCTATATTGTAGGTTCCGTATTTCTGTATACAAATATAGTTATATATGGTTAAATACATTTTTATGCTTTATAATAGCAGATTAATTGAAAACTAATCATTATTATAAGAAAATAGAACAAAAGTAGTCATAGTAAAAAGAGTTGCCTACTACCAAGACACAATAATAAAAATAATGGGACTAATCATTGGTGTTTCATAAAATAACGCTAGTGTATCAGATAATAATGTCAGGTAAATAATCCTATTGCTGCTAGTAACTGTACTATTAAAGTTTTGAAATTATTAAAATTTAATCCTGTATTTTTTCATTAAATTAAAAAATACTTGACTAATTTTTACCTTAAACTACATGGTGCTGCCATCTTTGAAAAGATAGACGTACTATACATGGCTGGAATTACAGTTTACAATTTATTTTTCATAATTATTTTTTATGCCAATACTGAAATAATTATTTATTTGATTTATTTATTTTATAAAAAACTGTTTTCAAAGCTAATAAGGATTACCAATTTTTTGGTATTTAAATATGTTGGTATCAAATTCGAATCATTCAGTTTGTTCTAAATGAACTATGAGTTTATTAATAAATTGATGAATTTTTGCCTTAAACTACATAGTGCTGCCATCTCTGAAAAAATAGACACACTATACTTGTCTGGAATTACAGTTTACATATTACAATTGATTCATTTTTCACAATTTTTTATGCCAATATTGAAATAATTCACTTGATTTATTTATTTTATAAAAAATAGTTTTCAAAGCTAATAAGGATTACCAATTTCTTGGTATTTAAATTTGTTGGTATCAAATTCGAATCATTCACTTTGCGGCAAATGAACTATGAGTTTATTAATAAATAATCATGAATCCATAACCTAGAAGATTTTCAGTATTTTCACATATTATCTGACTGACATATCTATCTACCGGTTGGCGGTGGGATGATATAGTAAATCTGTTTAGTCATCCATTACCATTACTGTAATAGTGTAACACTAGCAATAGTTGTGATATACGAAATTGTGTGTTGTGCAATCATGAAGAAAGTGATAATTTTAACAATAACTATATTTTTAACTCATCTAGCAGACTCGGCATTTCCGAATTTTTACCCAAAACTAGCTGTAGAGCCGATTACAGACGATCCTGGGGTTCCCCTGATACTGACACCTCTTATAGAACAAAACAAAATAGCGGAAGCTGTTGCAGCTGCCAAAGTATATTTTAACGGATTTAAGAAAATTGAGAGCTACTCCGGATATTTTACTGTTGATAAAATCTTTGGTTCAAATTTATTTTTCTGGTTTTTGCCGGCTGCGAACGATTACGAAAACGCCCCGGTCGTGTTATGGCTACAGGGTGGACCAGGAGCATCTTCGTTGATCGGGCTTTTTGCAGAAAATGGCCCGTTTATAGCAAAATCTAAGAAAGGATTGAAACTCAGACCTTATCCCTGGAGTTCTACTCATTCTATGATATATATTGATAGCCCAGCTGGCACTGGATATAGTTTTACTAACGGTGGATTCGCCCAAAATGAAACTAAGGTTGGACAAGATCTGTATAGTGCTCTTACTCAGTTTTTTACCATGTTTCCCAATCTTCAGAAAAACGAGTTTTATGTTACTGGGGAGTCTTATGGTTTGTATAAATATGTTATCTTTTAACTAACCTTGGTCTTAATTTTCCTGAGTTTAGTATAAAAACAAAATTAATATACTTTTTTAAGGCTGAGTTCAACATAATACGCTTATTTTTGTTACGTTTTAACTGATAATGGGAATTTTCAGATGCAACACGTGATTGTTTTTTAATTATCACGAGTGCGAAAAATGTAATTTGGTTCTAAATTTAATAAAAGCGTGTGAGCTCTACGAATCTGAAATTTATATCAATGGATTTTGTTTATGTTAGTGGTTAATGCACTATAAATTTTATTAGGTGCTCAACCTTGATTTTTATGTATCTTCCATTTAAAGTATGTTTTGTTTTTAAAAGCAACTGTCATAAAACGATAAAAAATGACATTAATGACAATCTTGTTATTATGTCAACGGTTTTAGCCAATGTTGCCACATTGATATAAAATATGTTTTCTTATGAAAAATAAAAATTAAAAGTCGCGATTTGTACCGGGTGGTCCAATAAGCCGATCTCTCGGCATATATCAGAAACCATTCATGTTATAACCAAAGAATATATAACTTTAGGAGAAAAACTTCAGGAGTAAAAGTGGTCAATAGAAATCGCTGGAAATAGCTTTCGTTTCTGGGTTAACCGCTAGGGGACGTAACCTGTGAAGAAAAATTTGAAAACCAGTTTTTTGTGAAATATGCCCAATTATACCAAGTGTTAAATAAGTAAATTCGAAAGAGGCCTAAATTCCGCACAGTGTTGTTCAAGTACTTTTTTTTTTATTTTTTCAAATAAAGGGTACTAGACAGCGGGAAAGTATTTGTGTATAAATACCTATAACTTTGGTTTGGATCAACCGATTTTAACGAAATTAGTGTCATTAGAAAGAGTGTAGATGAATTAATTTACATTTACTATAAATTAATTGCATTTAGTTTTAATTGTCATGGGTAGAGGGTACTTTCGAATAGAAAAAATTAAAATTTGTTTTTCTTCAAAATTTTTAATGGAAACACCTACTTATTGTAAATTATAATGGAACAGGATTAACTTCGTAACAAAATGGCGCAAATCGCATGTTAGTAGCTTTTGTTGAAGTCGAGATATGCATAAAAACGCATAAACATAGGTAAGTATAGTATTGACTCACCCTGTATTATAAATTAAATGAAAGAATAAGTCAGTAGGTACTTTCAACTTTGTGCATAATTTTGGCCTCTTTCTAGTTTACTTATTTAACACTTTTTTCAAAGTTTCAAAGTTTTCTTCACAGGTTACGCCCCCTAGCAGTTAAACCAGAAACTTGAAAGTTATTTCCAGCGATTTCTCTTGGCCACTTTTACTAAGGAATTTTTTCTCCTAAAGTTATAACATAAATATTTTGTGATATATAGCCGAGAGATCGGCTTATTGGACCACCCGGTACACTTTTCTAGTTTCATCGTTTGTACGATGATGATAAACTTATACTTTACTAACAGTACCCTTGGTGTCTTAAGTTCGACAATCTTGCTTACGATGAGACCCCAGTTCGCTGAATTGAAGGCGTTTTTTTAATGTCCAATAAAACAAGTACCACCCATTTCTTTTTGCTTGTTTTCACCGCGTTTCTTATCCAGATTGCGGCGTCGACTGCTGATCGACCTTTTCTGAATCCATATTGTTGGTTGGATAGAGCTCTCTTATCTGCTAACACGCCTTCTACCTATTCCTGACAAGATTCTCATAGAACTTGCCAAGGTAGTCCAGAAGGCATATTGACCTATAAGAGGATGCTGAATCGGGGGTTTTCCAGGCTTTAGGAGTAAAATCAGATAGATTTGCTTACTTTAATTCCCTGGGAAACTCTTGCTTCCGCAGTAGACCGTTATATATTTTTCTGATCAAACCTAGTTTCTCAATTGTTGCTATCTTCAGTGTCTCCGGTAGCAGTCTATCAGGGCCGGGAGCTTTCCCCGTCTTGATTTCCGACCAGCAGCGGTCTTTATTTCTTCTTTTGTGAATTCCTCCGCCACCACAGGGGAGACCTTCAAGAAGGTTTGTTCCTCCTTGGCGGGAAAGAGAAGTTCTGTCGTTTCTCGCCGCTGGTCCTCGTCTAAATTGTATGGAGCAATAATCTTTAGTGACTTCATTGTTATCTTATATACGTCGCCTCATATGTCGTCTTCTAAAGCATTTATTAGGTTCTGCCACCTTTCTTTTTTTTTTTAATTTTTTTATTGTTTTATTGAGTTTCTTTTTTGCTGTTTTGTATACCTCTTTGAGCTCGTAGGCGCCCTGGCTTCTCGTAAAATTCCTGTGAGCTCGGAGACACTCATCCCGTAGGCCTTCAATCTCAACCGTCCACCAGTAGGGGGTTCTTTCTTTGTTCCTTTATCTTTACGGTCCCCATGGTATATTGGGGATTTGTTCTCGAGGTTTACTCCTCTAGGCTTTTTTTTCACGGTTGCCTCCGGACGCAGTGGCAGACAGTGTTATTAACACTATTTATAGTGTTATTAACACTAGTTACTGGTATATATATATATATATATATATATATATATATATATATATATATATATATATATATATATATATATATATAGCAAAACTGGTAAGATTATCGACCGAAACGTAAAAAACAATTTATTGTGTTGGAATATCGGGTATGCGGTCTGTTATTATTAAAAAAAAAAACTCTTTTTTCTTTTAATCCTCTATATTTCGCTGATTTTTTGTCAGCTTCATCAGGAGACAACTAAAAATTTGAATAAAAGTTATATAAAAATCAGTTTAAATAAAAGGTGACTCACTTACAGATTTAGAGTGGAAAGTATTTAAACAAGTTGTTGAACATACTTTGTTCAAAACAGTACTGACAGTTTCTGTTAAAAGTACCTAGGTCACTAGTAATTAAATGTAAAAATATAAAAACAGAGCAAACAAAAACAACGAAACAATTAAATCACAATAAAATTACACATTAAAAATATACAGGGTGATTTAAAATATAATTGTTAACAGAAAAATTATTTAGACATACTAAGAATATTACAGTAGATATTGCTCAACTGTCCCGTGTCTGCTTTGTAATTTACTGCATAGTTTTCTCTATTTATATGACACATTTCCAAAAACAGTCTTTTTTTGTAATTATTTTCTTACTGTAAAACCCTGACATTTGAGTAATCAAATTGATGGCCAGTTTTTAAGTGATGGTCAACTGCCGCACATGTGTTCTTCCGTTTTGTGCAGTCACTTTTGTGTTGGGTGACCCTTTGTTTTAGCCATTGAGAAGTTTGGCCAACATAACAGCTCTGGCAATCTAAACAAGGCAGTTTGTAGATAACATTACTTTTGTTTAAAGTTGGTGTCTTGTCTTTTACTTTAGAAAACAGTTGTCGGTTTTCTAATAAATTATATTGGACAATTTTTATGTTGGTAAATTGTTTAAATAAACTAGTCACAGAAGGTGTGAACTGTTTTATTAATGGTAGTTTTTTATATTGTGTTGTTTGTACTGCTCCGATATCAGTGGGACCGTCAAAAATGTCAGAGTTAAATATCAATTTTTTAAGGATATGTTTTGGTCGATTGCTTATCCATGATGCCCTGGTCGGTCGCGCAACCCTTACATCCCGTAATGGGTCTGGGACGCGCGACGGCTCAGCACTTCATGGAGACACCTTATGAGCCATTGGGTCGCGCCGTGTCATAGAGGACTTACCCCACCCCGGGGTTTCGCAAAGCAGATTTGGGCTGTACCACGTCCTTCCTCCTCTTTGCGCTCCCCCGGAGCACGGAGGTAAGAGGAACCTAAACCCAAATTTTCAAGCAAGTCCGAAACAAATTACACTACAAAACGGTCACGTACTGGCGTAGAAGTAACATAGTTTTCCGCAAATCGCCAGGAAATTTTGACATTCCTGTCAAAATTTCTTGAAGAAAAAGTCAGGACTTCCTTACTGTAAGGAAATGTCATTTCCTTACTGTAAGGAAATGATATTTCCGTACAGTTGTTAGTGTTCTACATAAATGATAGAAAACACATTGCTTATAAGGAATTAATTTATATTTTGAAAACATCAAGTCATTGCTGAATACATTTTTAAGATCAATTTAATATTTACAGTAATTTGACAGTTAGTACAATTATTGAACATTGGAGGAACACTCTTAGAACTATGAGAAACATTTTGGACAACATGCAGGGTGGAAGTGTCATTTTGTTGAATATTTTGTACTGGGAAAATTTTATTTGCCACCTCAACCTTATTGTTAAGCGATTCTTCGATATATCCTTCAGCAACGTTTGATGACTTCCATCCGCCATGCCTCTTTAAACTAGTTATGTCGGCACCAAAGTCAACCAATATTGTTGCAGAAGACCGACGAAAGCAGTGACCAGTATATTCTGTCGGATTTACCAAGTTCAAATAAGTAGCAATTATTTTGGGCATTTTTCTAAATTGATGAATTCCTACCACTTGTCTACAACCCTTTCCGCTTTGATATTTAAAGAAAAATCGGTCACTGTTCATATTTTCTGGTCTTAACGAAACATACTTTCGATAAACATTCAAGTAGATGTGATTAATTACAAATGATCTTGGTTTGTTGGTTTTCGAATCAGGTATGCTGATTAAAAGCTTAGATTCTAAGTCTTCTATATCGTGTACAGTCATTCGGACTAACTCATCCATTCTACAGGCCCCAGAAATACCAAATATTACAGCCACCTAAAAAATAAATAAAGCTATAATCTAAATAGAAATTAAAACCTTGTAAATTACCTTAATCATTAAATTTTCTTTATCTGGAGCTTCCTGGATAAATTTTTCAATTTCTTCCTTCGTTAAAATCTTAGATTTCTTTGCCCTATAACCTTGAGCTTGCCGTTTCAATAAAGAACGAAGTTTTGAGTATGTAGATATATCTACATTTTGTTTAAGTGCAAGGGTTGACTTCAGCATTGAATAATTGGCCCATAATGTTGAAGATTTCATCTTTAAACAAAGGTCTAGGAAGTATGCCATTACAACATTTTCTGAGAAAGAACTCGTATTTTTACTCATGCGATAATCCATAAAACGTCTGTATGCATTTTCGTACTTTTCTCTTGATTTCTTTGGCAATAATTCTAATGAAGCAGTATTCACTGCCTCAACCAGCTCTGGAGGAGTCCCAGGAATAGAAATTTCATCATCACTTATCATTTTACTTTCGAGAACACCAGCAATTAAATTTATAAGCGTCAAGTTTGACAATTCAACCTCAATACGTTTCCATAGTAACCCAAGTAATTTTATTAGGAATTTCAAAGCACCATTTATTTGGGAATAAAATTATCGCGTTTTTTTTAAATCAATCAATATCTGTCGAATTTTAAACGATTTGCGGAAAAATAGTATGTTTACCTCGTAGGAAAAGCTACATTTCTGGACTCTGTGTTGCTCTCGGCTTCCGCCTCGACTTAGCAATCTTCACAGTCGTCCAGGAATGTTAAGCTTTTCCTACCCGGTAAACAATGTACGAGTAATGTATTATTGTAGTACTCAGCTAGAAAGAACTGCAATTTGTGTGCCTTACACCATTGTTTGGAATGGTGCACCATTCCAAACATTTGCGATTTTAATTTTTTTGTAGGAGGAAAATATGTCCCGGCTATTTCGTATACTATCCATAAAAATAATCCAGATGCAAAGTTGAAAATAAATCTAAAAGGACTGAGTATTGGAAACGGTTTGTGCAATCCAGAATTCCAGTTAAATTACGGAGATTATTTATATCAATTAGGACTGATTGATTTAAGTGGTCAACAAATTTTTAAGGAAAAGGAAAAAGAAGGTTCGTATTTTTATTCAGTTTATAGTAATATAGTGTATAGTGTAATCACAATTTTTTTAACTTCGAATTTGTATTTAGTTCGTTTAACATAATAATTAGATTATACAGCAGCTATTTTTAATTTTTTTTATGTAACCCTGTTTATTTTAACGAGTTACAGGTACAAGCACTTATTTATTTTTCATTCCAGCTGTCACATATATCCAGAATAAACAATTTGATAAAGCAGCTGATGTCTTCGATGACCTCTTAGATGGCGATTTCCACAACCGTTCATCAACATTCAAAAATATCACAGGTTTTACCAACTATTTCAACTTTTTGTATCCCACTGATCCCAACAATCTAGAAATACAAGAAGCTGCGAAATATCTTCAGAGAGACGACGTACGCGCTGTTATTCACGTCGGTAATACCTCATTCGGTGCTACCTCGTCCGAAGTCGAAAAGAATTTGAAGAATGACATCATGCAGAGCATAGCTCCCTGGCTCACAGAACTTCTTAACAACTACAGGGTTCTAATCTACAACGGTCAGTTGGATATCATCGTCGCGTATCCTCTAACGGAGAACTTCTTGAGAAACCTCGATTTTAACGGCGCTGACCAGTACAAGACAGTGCAAAGGTATCCTTGGTATGTCGGTAGCGATGTTGCTGGGTATGTTAAACAAGCAGGGAATTTGACTGAAGTGCTGGTGCGAGACGCCGGGCATATGGTTCCGGCGGATCAGCCTCAGTGGTCTTTTGATCTTATCAATAGGTTTACCAGGAATAAACCTTTTCATAGAACCTAATTACCGATGGAATCATTCACGAACTAGTATTTTTAGTTCATTATCTTCTTATTCAATTATAAAGATTTTTCAGCTTTGTAGGACACTAGTACAGTCTGAAATATTTTAAGGGACTATATATTTTTGATCATTCACCTATTGCAACGCCTTTATCTAATGATCTTGTAATGTTTTTTTTATATTAATGATAAACAACAAGTTGTTCAACAACATGTTCATCTGATAATGTCTATAATAAAATCAATGCAAGTGTCTACAGACTTGCGTCACAGTGAGCTAAACAGATTTACAATAATGATTAGGTTTGAATGATTAGAAAAAATGTAAAAAACATTTAATTTTTCTGATATTATCATTTGTAAGACTGTGAAATACATATTTGATACTTTTTTAAGGATATTCTAATAAGATATTTTGATATTTTATTAATACGTTCAAATTTTGTGTTAGAAATAAATTAAATAAATAAAGATTAAGTTACTTTTATGCAGTATTTTATTTTCCATCAACAATTTGGCACAAACAGAAGATTTCTACTTTAATGTGCCCCTAGTATGCCGTTTTCAGTATTAATTTGAAAGGAATGAAATTTGAAGGAATTTGAAAGTGTTCTCTCTTGATGGCCCCATTAAGTTCTTTTGTATCAAGACATAGTCTTAAGTCACGATTTGGCTTTTCCACAATGATAAGTGGGTGAACCCACTCTGTTGGTTTATCTACCTTCGTTATGACTCCTTGCGCTTCAAGATCACACAGTTCATTTTTTTAAACGTTTTCGTAAAGCATCTGGAACCCGTTCTTATGGTGCTTATTCGAGATTTGGTATCTTCTCTCAAGTGGTTTGGTATCTTGTAACTAGATCATTTAAATGAAATCGTAGGCTTCCACGGCCAGAGTCAGAATTATAGTTTATTCGTCTTCCAGGTTTGGACCGTGTCATTTGTGAGTGACCCAAAAGTGGGTTCATCTCGACGTTTCGCTACAATTGTATGTAGCTTCTTCAGGAGAACAAAGAATAAGAAAACAAAAGACAGGAAGATGGGTAGTTAGCAACGGTAACTCAGTTACTCAACGCAACCAGAGGCGAATACTAACTACCAAGATGGGCATTTGGTCACAGTAACTCAACTACTCAACGCAGCCAGAGGTGACAACCAAATGCCAGGACAGGGATTCACGTCCAGCAGCTCAGAACACTAACGCATCGTGGTAGCGGGACCGGACGGCGGCTCTAGACTGAGATTCCAGATGGGAGACAAGTAGTATCCTTCTTCTCGATTGATATTATGGGGATTTTTTCGGATCTCTAGCGATTCGCGGATTTTCCTGGAATAAAAGAAGGGGCTCTTAGAAATAATATGGGTTTTTTCGAACAATATGGAATGACCGGTTTCTTGGCAGTGTTCTGCAACTGCAGAATGGGAGAAAAGACCTGATCGAATGCATCTTTGATGCTCTTGAATCCGAGTTTTGACGGAACGACCAGTTTCGCCAATATACACATGTCCACATGAACAAGGAACAGAATAGACCCCACAGAAAGATAGGGGTGGTAATGGGTCCTTAGGAGAGGGTAGATATTGTGAGATTTTCTTGGGTGGTCGAAAAGTAGTCCTGATACCTTCTTTGCGAAGAATTTTGCAAGGATGATAGGATTGGCAAAATCCGCGAATCGCTAGAGATCCGAAAAAATCCCCATAATATCAATCGAGAGGAAGGATACTACTTGTCTCCCATCTGGAATCTCAGTCTAGAGCCGCCGTCCGGTCCCGCTACCACGATGGAGCCACATGATTGGCCAGCGCGCGCTTCTTGACGTTCGCGCCACGAAGTGTGCCGATACGTCCCGACACGACAGGACACCGCGACTATAAATAGAGCGGTAGCGGAGTAATCGTCGGATTCACTCCCCGCCTCTCGACGCGTTAGTGTTCTGAGCTGTTGGACGTGAATCCCTGTCCTGGCATTTGGTTGTCACCTCTGGCTGCGTTGAGTAGTTGAGTTACTGTGACCAAATGCCCATCTTGGTAGTTAGTATTCGCCTCTGGTTGCGTTGAGTAACTGAGTTACCGTTGCTAACTACCCATCTTCCTGTCTTTTGTTTTCTTTTTCTTTGTTCTCCTGAAGAAGCTACATACAATTGTAGCGAAACGTCGAGATGTGCCCACTTTTGGGTCACTCACAAATGACACGGTCCAAACCCGGAAGACGAATAAACTATAATTCTGACTCTGGCCGTGGAAGCCTACGATTTCATCAGTCATTATCATCAAAAATATCATAATCGTCATCATCATCACTGTCATCACAATTAATTGTTATTATGATTGGACTTATTTCGTTTATTTTATTTTCACGAGTCCACCAATCTTCTATTAGTTTCTCGCACTTGAATATACAGTTGCACCACACTTCTGGAGTTACAATTGTAAGTGCCTTTCGCTAAGTTTCCCGAACTGCTTCGTCGCTATAACCGTTAGGCCCAATAATGTTGTCATAATATTGTTTTGCTATTCCCCATATATATTCGATGGGATTAAACCGGCAATGATACGGTGGCAGACGTAAAACTTGATGACCGTAACTTTCAATAATCTGATCCACAACAAAGGTTTTTGGTTTTGCGTGGATATTTGCCAAGCGTAATAATTCTGATTTTAAAATATGTTGTGTAAATGGTATATGCTCCTTTGTTAACCATTCTTTAATTTTATTAACAGTCCAAGAATTCGTTGGACTTTTGTTAAATACTTCAGAATGGTAAGGTGCATTGTCTAAAATAATTACGCTGGGCTCACTTAAACCTGGGAGAAGTTTTTCATGTAACCATTTTACAAACATTTCTGTGTTCATATTATCGTGATAGTCACTTGATTTTGATTTAGAAGAAAATATTAAATCAGCATCTTCTATAAAACCCGATTTCCCTCTTGCATGTAAAATTATGTGTCGCTTCCCTTCTCCATCAGTATTTTTGATAGACTTTACGTTATCATCTTGCCATATTCTCTTGGTTGCACCCCTAGAAAATATCCATGTTTCGTCTAAATATATAAAATTTGCCCTTTCTTCTTTTAATTTAGAATATTTTCTTAGAAAGTTCATTCTTTTATGCACAACAGAACTTCTTTCACAAACGGCTTTTCTGTTATCCTCCTTTTAAATTTTGAAACACAAATTATGTATCACTTGCCATAGACTTGTTCTGCCAATTTCGTCAAATTTTCTATCTTTTAAGTCCGAGAGAATTGTATTTAAGGTCACATGTTCCTTGTTGGCTCGCATTCGATAAATGGTATCACGAATTTCAAATTTTTTTCCATCTGGAATATCTTTCGTTTTCAATGATAGGCGAGTTTTTCGGTGATTTTCTTTCGGCCGTTCATTATTGCAATTTTGTAATACTCCTCTTAGTTTGGTTTCACTAATTCCTAGAGCATCACATACGCGTTGTTGAACAGACATTACTGATTTTAAAGGACCGCCATTTTCTTTTTCATCCGTAAAATACTTATGTACACTACAAATTAGACTATCTACATCTAACACACGTCTAGGCATTTTTAAATATTTCCACCAAACATACAATGTCAACACTGGCAAAGAATCAATTCAACTGCAATATTGTAACAAACTTATACCTACCCTAATGTTATTTTAATGTATTTTAAAATATGACCATTAATGCAGTTTTTACCTAATTTTCTGGGAAGTCGTTTACTGCAACTGGTTATCAATGAGTCATTTGCATAATTTTGTTAATCCGAAACCCGCGTAAATATAGCGAACCGATTATATATTTTGTTGATAAAACGTATCTTTTGAAGCAAGAGGTTTGCCATCGTTTGCTCCATAAATTCGGAGTGTTGTATTTTGGCTTTAAACACACACATTTACCTTAAATATTCTTTCAGAGATTGCTTCTCACGAAGTTATATTTTCCACCATTTTTTATGTATTAAGATAGATACCTCCTTTACAATGTATTAAATACCTACTTATAACATATTAAAATGATTTAGTGCAAGTTCTACTAGATTGAATTATAATTTGGAGATTAATGAAACTAAGTTTAAAGGTTATCTTGGTCGCATTTTTATTTATGTCTTAAAATCATTAGAATACTTTGTATCTATCACAATTTCCTGTCATTTTTAATGATATTCAATCGATATCTATATCTTTAATGGAATGAGATTCTCTTATCTGAAAGAAGCGTTAAGTGGATACTTATTTACAAATACATTTAGCATGAATTAAGATTTTTTATGATCAAATCACGATTGTCAATAATTCAAAGTAGGTCACACAAGTATTTCTTTTATTTGTACTCGAACCAGTGTCTAGAAATGATGTTTAGAGCAGTTGCAGCAACATTTTTGCTACTGTGTTATATTCAAGATGCAGAAGTAGCCTTCTCATCGTTCTATCCAAAACTGAAGCCAAAAAACATCAAAAGGGATGTACGTGTTACAGAAGATCCGCTGATTTTAACGCCGTACATAGAGAAGAATCAAATAGAACAAGCTCAATCATTGGCTGAAGTTCCGTCTGATATTTTCCAGAACGTAAAGTCTTATTCTGGATTTTTTACCGTCGATAAAGAGTTCAACTCAAACATGTTCTTTTGGTTTTTCCCAGCGGAAACCAACTACAAGGAAGCGCCTGTTTTAGTGTGGTTGCAAGGAGGTCCCGGCGCTTCTTCCCTGTATGCCATATTTCAAGAAAACGGGCCATTCCAGTACAACAATTCTCCAAATCTGGGATTCAATCCTTATTCTTGGCACAAGACACATTCAGTAATCTACATAGACAATCCAGTGCAAACAGGGTACAGTTTTACTAACAATGGCTTCGCACAAAACGAAACCAAAGTCGGTGAAGATCTCTATGAAGCTATACGACAGTTTTTCCTGCTATTTCCAGATCTTCAAAAAAACGACTTCTTCATTACGGGTGAGTCTTACGCCGGAAAATATGTTCCAGCAGCGTCATATGTCATTTACACGAAGAATAAAGAGGCAGAGTTGAAAATTAACTTGAAAGGAATGGCTATTGGGAACGGTTTGTGCGATCCTGAACATCAATTGGTTTATTCTGACTATCTATATCAGATAGGGTTGGCAGATAGTAATGAGAAGGAAGAAATACATACTTTGGAAAAAGAAAGTAAGTACTTTCCCTATATCCTCTATTTATTCTATCTACTTTTCCTTGGTCAACATCTTTGTTTATATCCTTATATATATCTATATCCTTTATTTAATGTATCTATTTTTTCTCGGTCAACCTCTTTGTTTTTTTCTCTTCATAAATTTATCTTGAAATTCTTCTTGTTATATTTTGTGGTCGGAACCACAGTCTGCAGCTGATTTTGTCTTTACGTTGATTATTAAGTTTAGTGACAATTTCTGTCTTGGAAGTCGTGCTTTCGGGTGCTTCCATAATGCCTCCCTACCAACTTAAACTACCTTTAGTCACGCACGCGCGGCTAGTCTTGTTAAGATCGTCCCAACATGCGCGGCTTTCTTCTCATCTCCTTTCTTCCCCATAAGCGTTTATGTCTGCTGTCTTTCCCTTTCTAGGATCTCATTCCTTTTTATTATTCTAGTAATTGTTCCCAGGATTTTTTTATATCCATTTTCTTTTCTTCCTGCCACTTCCATTGAATTATTTGTCCACCCTTTCGTATAGCTATACAGTCTCTTCCCTATCTTTAGGAGCCATGTCACGTAAGAAACTGCGTGAAGTAGTTGGCCTACCTATGGCTATGTCCGACTCAACTTTTTACGTCCAGTATGACCGTTCTTCTCCATTAAGCCCTATGTTCGATTTACCATTCTTCTTCCCATTTTGATGTGACCCCTCTTTCATCTGCTTCGTAGTTTTCATTCATGCTATACCTGCTTGCTCTTTCCCGAACAAGTAGGTAAATTGCTAGCACCCTCGCTATCACTTGTAAGGCAACAGTCGAAGTCGTCTTATATGCACACATGATTTTCAACAGGGCCTTTTCTGAGCTTTCTCCAGAATTCTCCTGTATTTTTGTTTAAGCATTTTTTTAACCTATTCTCTATCCTTCCATTGTTGGATATGGTCTCCCCCAGTTCTCTCCATCTTTCCCTATCTTGAGCTGTTCTCTGCCATGTGGGACCTGCTTGTTTCCTGATGTCATCTTTCCACCTCATCTGTGGTCTGCCTCTTGATCTCTTTGCATTGTATGGACGCCACTTTCCGATGGCATTGTTCCATCGTCCGTCTTGGAGACGTTCATTGTGTCCAGCCCATTTCCATTTCAGTTTTGCTGCTTGTTCTAACGCGTCTATTGTCTTTGTTCTGGTTCTGATCCACTGGTTACGTTTTCTATCTCTAAGTGATACACCCAACATTTGTCTCTCCATCGCTCTTTGTGCCTTCCTTATCCTATCCAAATTGGCCTGTGTAAATGTCCATGTCTGTGCTCCGTAGGTGAGCACCGGTATTATACAGGAGTTATATACCTTGCTTCGTAAGTATAGAGGGAGTGTTTGATTTCTTAGAACGTAAGAAAGTTTGCCGAACGCTGCCCATCCCATTCTTACTCGTCTCGATATTTCGGCTGTTTGATTTTCTCTATTAGCTCTGATTGCTTGTCCTAGATAGATATATTCATTTACCTGTTCTATTTTTTCTGTTTTTATTTTTATTGCCTCTTGGTCTTCCGTGTTTGTCATTACTTTTGTTTTGTTGAAGTTAATTTTTAGGCCTTTTTGCAGTGATTTTTCATGAAGTTCATTCAGCATTAATTCCAGTTCTTGTCGTTCTGAGGAGATCAGGAGTATATCATCCGCATATTTAAGGTGATTTAGGTATTTTCCGTTAATACATATTCCTCTGTTTTCCCAATCTGTTGATTTTATTATGTCTTCGAGGGTCAAGGTAAACAGTTTTGGTGAAATAATATCGCCTTGTCGGACTCCTCGTTTAACTTTTATATTATCCGTTATTAATTTGTCGTCCAGAATTACGGTCATGGTTGCGTTTTGGTAAATATCATGTATCAATTGTCGGTATCTTGAATCTATTCTACTATTGACCAGAGCTTCTTCAACCGCCCAGTGTTCAATGCTGTCGAAAGCCTTTTCATAATCTACGAATGCTAAACGAATACAACCTTCCGCTGTACTTAGCATTCGTTTAAGCATTACCTGCTGCTATATTGGTGCTGCGTATAGTATGGTGTAGTGAACTACTTCCATAAGAATTATTCTTCTACCTGTCTCTGGACCTTCTATGTTTGACATGATTTTTGTTACCGCTGCTGTTCTTTAATCGGCTATATTAGGATGCTTTCTCCTTCCAAATTAAAGGAGATGTGCTCTCTCACTCTTGGACATTTGAAGATTATGGCCTCCGTCTTCTGTATGGCTAGCATCAGTTCTCTCTCCTCTACTCATATCACAACTAGTTCAAGAGCTATGTTCCCACTCCTAAGTTTATCTCCAATATGTTATAAGTATAAAGTACATTCCAGATCAGCAGTTCTAGAACCCAGTCCTGTAGCACTCCCGCAGATGTCTTCATTATGTTGTCTTTAGTTATATTAATGCTTCTGTCTGTGTTATAATCTCTCACCAAGTTCTGCAGGTAAGGGAATATTTCGATTTCTTCTAATAGTCTGATGTTTTTGCACCTACCCCTGCATGCTCCTTTCTCTCTTATGCTATATTGCTGCTGCGTATAGGCAGATCTATCGCAGATCTGCCTTTTTAAACCCATATCCTAGCGGTCCAACAGGCCTTCATTTGCTTCTATTTCTTTTTGAGCCTCGACTTTATGAGGATTTCGAATAGTTTGCCTAGTCTATTTAGCAATCATATTGGCCTGACAGCATCCGGTTCTTTCCAAAGGTTTAGGGATGAGGATATTCACCCATTCAGCCTTTTCGTGAATTTCGGGCTTTACTGGTCCGAGTGCCTTCCCTGTCTTCAGCGCCTTTCCTATTTATATTATCTCTTCCATTGTGAAGTCATTTGTTAGTGTCTTTGTAGATAATATTTGGAAAGTTTGCTCCAGTCTTTGCGGGAACACTGCTTCCGCTAGTTCTCTTCTACGCCTACAAACCAACTTTAAGAGAGGACCTCTTAAAGTAAGTGTATTCTTTTGAGTTCTTTTACTGCAATCTTGTATGTGACCCCAAATGTTATATTCCAGGCTCTCGCATAGTGATTTCCAGCACCTTCTATTTTCGCTGTTTATTTCTTTGGTTAGTTCTTTCTTTAAGGCTTCTAGTTTTTCGTCATCCTTAGTCCACTAGTAAGTTCTATTTGCGTGCTAGTCACTAGTCAGTTCTTTTTGCTGGCTCTGGTGACTTTTTTTTAAATTCTTTGTAATAACTTTCCATCAGTATGGGCGGGTGCTGATTCTTCTTCCCCTTGAGCAACATTTTTTAGCTAACGCTTTACCTTTTTCATATCCAACTTAAAAATTATTTGGGTGCTCCTCATTCCCTGTAATTCTTCTTATTAAGAGGCTGATTTCTCAACCTTAGGACAAAAGAGTGCCATTATCTTATCCTAAACATATAAAAATCAGTCGATGTAAAAAAACTGTAGTAAATTAAACATAAACGTTGTGAAAATACAAGAAAAACTCAATTTTGTAGATAAAGATATTACCTATAATTAACAACTATTTATCTTTTTAGTCATACAATCTATTCATAAAAAGGACTTCCAAAAAGCTTTTGAACAATTTGACGACCTTCTAAATGGGGACCTAAACGGAGGAAACACTTTGTTTAAAAATATAACCGGATTCAGTTCTTATTATAATTACTTACATGACAAGGGTTCAGGCGGGTCAAACTTAACTGACTTCTTGGAAAGTGAGCAAGTTCGAAGAGCCATTCACGTAGGCAACCTTAAATACAACGATGGAGTAGAAGTCGAGGAAAATCTAGTCCTGGACTTGATGCAGTCCATAACCCCGTGGATTTCGGAACTGCTCAGCAACATCAGAGTTCTCTTTTACAACGGACAGCTTGATATAATAGTAGCCTATCCCCTTACTGAGAACTTTTTAAAACACTTGCATTTCAGTGCTGCCCACGAATACAAAACTGCACGAAGGCAGAAATGGTATGTGGGTGATGATTTAGCCGGATACATTAAGCATGCTGGAAATCTGACAGAGGTTTTAGTTAGAAACGCTGGGCATTTAGTTCCTGGAGATCAGCCGAAGGCCGCACTGGATCTAATTACACGCTTTACACAGAATCAACTAGAATAAGAAATATATGGACTTTCTTATACAACATGACCAAGAGTAAGAAGTTGAATGTGTTCAAAATATGCTATTGACAATATTGTTTTAAAGACTAGTAATATAAGAAGCAAAAAGAGTCACTTTATTTTATATATAAATTGTACTGACATTTTGCAAAATTGTTACTTTGTAATCAGCAAAGAAGTTTACTATTAGTTATAAGTTATCTTCATACTTTTATTCTTTTTTTACTTATAAATAAATAATAAAGATCCTTAATTTTTCTTTTCTATATGCTCTGGCTTGACCACATCCGAGATACGGGCAATTATTTTGCAGAAATGTCTACTTACAGTTGAAAGATTCTAAAGGTGCCGATGGGGCATGGCGTCTATGCGCAGCATTATAGTCGGTGTATGAGAAAATATATTAGAAATAATGAAATTTGACGTAAAATTAGTTATTTCATTATTTCAAATACTTTCTCTGTCATATACCGACTATAATACTGAGCATAGACGCCATCCTCACCGGCACCTTTAGAACCTTTTAACTGTATGTACTTTTGCGCTACCTGTCGTGATGCATTTAAGAGTATTCCTATGTGCGAAGATTTGCCAAGCTGGAAGAAGAAATCACCAGTCTTAAAGAAAATATTACATTAATGGAAAATAGCAATTCAGTTTTTTATGAAGTACAACAACATATAGCGCTGATGATTTATAAAATTCCTGAATATAAGTTTATTTATATGTATTAGCTGATCGCATTAGTTATGACAAATCTCAGGTGTGTCAGGTCTTTCGTTTACTTGGCTTACAGCAACAGGAATCCACCATATCACATGTTATCAGAGTTGGAAAAGTGTCCAGTTACAATCAAGCTAGACTAGTCGTTATATGTAATCCTAACACGGTCAAATTGGCTCTAAGTACAGTAATAAGCTTCGAAATACTGTTTATAGAATCTCAAAGGATCAAACTAAGATGAAACAAGACGCTTACAAGGCAGCTAAAAAGGAACTAGAGGAAAGAAAATCAGCTGGCGATGAAAATTTATGCATTAGATACTGCAGTGATGTTCCTACAGTTAGTGACGTTAAACTAAAAAAAAAAACTAGTATCCTTCCAATTAACAGTTTTTTATCATTATATTAATTATGCTGGAGGCATTTGTACAAAGATTTTCGAGATCCTGAAAAGTATTTCCTGCTGCTTGTATAATATAATTATTTTAGTGGAGAGTAACTTGAATGATAACATAACTAATTGTGAAATTAAATGTGATAGTTTTAGTATCTATAGATATGATAGATCCCAGACAACCAGTGCAAATTTTAGCGGCGGTGGTGTACTAGTGTTTGTTAACAAGCTAAAATCACAAACCATTAGTATTCGTGAAGATCCTGTTGAGCAAATATATATCTTATCAACTTAATGAAGTCAAGTTTGTAGTCGTTGGTGTTTACATACCTCCACAATTACCTCGAAGGTAAATAAATTAAATAAGATGTCTCTAACAAGTAATATAAGAATATAAATATAAGATTATAAATTAAGTGGTTCAATTTATGATTGAATATACATGATAAATAAGTAACAACTTCAAATTACCACATATGAGAGCACAATGTCAAAACTTTATTAGTTTTAGCGAAGAAAACAATTTAACTATCAAAACACTTGATTTTCCAATTTTATGAAATCAAAATAGGCAGTTAATTGAACTATTACTACATTTTTAATCCTTTATTAATATTATTTACACAAACTACATTTAAAAATAACCATATTAACCCTAATCTTTGCCATTCAAGAACTTTCCTAAGAAATCTTTGGGTTTTGGTTCTGCTGTATCTTTGAAGTAGTTCATAATGTGACCTTTTTGCTTCCAAACATTCACAACTTCTTTCAGTTCCATTTGGCCCTTAAATAAAAGAAAATTAGGAATTACTTAGCTAAATATAAGCTATAATTACCTTGATAACTAACATATCGATCAGCCTAATGTCTTTAATATCATCAAATTTGGTAAATTCTTGCCTTAGTTTTTCTCGACATTGCTCAACATTTCTTGGAATATCATAATTATTAACTAAAAGAAAATAATAGGGTAAGATCTGGTTACCTTAAAATATAGCTAAGAATAGTCTTATTTATTATAAAAATACAAACCAATGTAAGGGAGCTGTCTGTACCAGGCTTTATATAAGTTCAAAACTCTTTTTCGTGCTTCTTCACGGTCTAATGAAAGAATAGGTTTAACTTCCTTAACACTTCGTCTGATAGCTTGTGATGCCATCTCAAATTTGTATTTTCTTTTTAAAAATCAGAAATTAGTGATGTAACTTAACCTCACACTTTTGACGTTTAAAAAAAAATGAAAATAAGACATATAAATGACAGCGTTATGACAGCGTTCAACTTGGGTCAGGGTTCAGCATCACAAGCAATCACAGAAAATAAGTAGGAAATATTTTTTTAATTAAGTATCATTTTGACGCAGTATTTTTTTGACACACATTTTTAGTTTTCCTTTATTATAATCTTATATATTATATTATAATAATATAGTCATACATTTATTGACGAAAATAAGCATATTATCTGAATGCTGTAATCCAAATGAATCCAAGTCCTTTTGTCTCTATTCATAAAATTAAAATGACATCTGTCATATGAGATATTTTAAAAACTGTAAAAACAGAGTTTTGTTTTATTTTAGACATGGTGATTTAATATTTAATTTTATATCTTTATTTGAATCATACTTCCCGTTTGAAAAAAAGCTACTTTAAAAATATTCCACAGCATTTATTGTTTTATATACGATTTTATTATTATAATCTTTATACAAATAAAAATAAACAATTAAAGTAGACTTGAATCAATAAATTGTTAAACCCGATTACGATAACTTGTAGGACGTTGTGAAAAGAATGCAGCAGTTTATATAAATCAGTATATATACATTCGGTAAAATTATTTGAAAATGTTAACTAGTAATGTTAACAGTGTTTCTGAGGAAACTGATTGGCCTACCTTCTTTATTATCCCATTTGATGCTTGTGGCCAAGTTAAAGTACTGCCCGATGGAAGCATATACCTTATTACCAATGAAAACCAACAGGTGAGTTAGATTAAAGCTTAAGTGTTCAGTTCAATGCCTACCTTGTATATTTTAGAATGAAGATAGAACTAATGAGGCTATCCTCAATAGCTTGGAGTCGAATAGTGCATATCAGCCAGAAACAACAAAAGTTATCAAAACTCAACCACAGTTTAATCAACTGGAAGAAATACCAGCACCTGTAGTACAGAACAATAAAATAGATTCACCATATTCATGTCCAGATTGTCAGGCAACTTTCTCAACTCCCAAAGAACACTCAGATCACTTAAAATGGCATAAAAAGTTTAAATGTACCAATTGTCCAGCTACCTACAACATTGAAACCAACTTAAAGATACACTTTGAGTTGGTGCATCAGACTGAAAATACCTTAAGAAACTGCCCAATATGTGGTATTGCTTTAAGGTTCAAAAGGGCAGCTAGTTTGAAGTCACATATGATGATCCATCAAGTTGAGGAGGTGTATACATGCCAGGAATGTGAAGCTGAGTTTGAAAAAGAGGTAAACAACGCCATATATGACTAGAATGATGTTACTGTAAGAGTTATTTATTTTCTCTGGTAGTTTCTGAGTATCTCTGAAATATTTATATATAACAATGTTATAGTAAGATATTTTAATGAAGTTTTTACTACCAAAATCTCGTCAATAAGTTTCAATATTTAGAAAAAATCTATTTACATTGAACCAATTAGACATATTGCATTTAAATTTTGTCCAGTATCTCACAAATCTGGTTAAAAAATCATGATACTATGAATAACAAGATAGGATCTTCCAGTATCACAAAATCAGTAGTGTTCTCGCATGCCGTCATTGGAGAGTAGAATTTGAATTCTTGTTAAAGTTAAATGGTATTTGTATGCATTCTGTAATGAAATTACTAGACGAAAATATATCATAGTATCATGAAACAAATGGAAGAATATTTGTAGATGAAGATATCTGGTCCTTGATGACAATTTGGTTCATGCTTGTTATACATTCTCTCATATTTCAATTAGTCTTTTATGTATCTCTTCTATCATTTAATCTTGTCTGGTGATTACAATATGTTTCCCATCCACATCTGTAATAAGTTCTCATTGTCTTTATCTTCTGATACTGGAAAATTTCTCGTCTTTTGGGTTTGTTATATAGAGTTTAAAGTTTTGTAGTTTTTCTAGTGATTTTTTTCATATTACCTAAAAACTTTCCCCATTGAGTTGTGTAGCCAGGTTTTTGCAATTGTAATATTTGCCAAGTAATGTTCAGGTGTATAATCTATGTGTGGGGAGTTTGAACCTTGTATTGCTATTAACCATCTGTACATACACTATACATATAACTTAGCATACAATATACATATAACTTAAAGCGCCTTAATTCAATGTTGGTTAGTCCTATTGATTCCTCTGTGGAACATGTTTTTACACAGGTAATGTGTGACACAAAAAAGTTAGTCATTGGTGCAGGGTACTTTCCTCCACGGTCATCTGGGTCAGTATATGAGGAGCATTCTACCTGTATATTGGACTTAATGGGGAGATTCAGTGATCGTGAATTCTGTATTTGTGGTGATTACAACCTACCTGAAGCATCCTGGGATAATCTTAGTAATGGTGTTACAGTTGAGTGTTCTGATCACTCTCCAGCAAATATTATTTGTACCTGCTATAATTTTCAAAATATGTCACAAGTAAATGGTTTGCCTAACCTTAATAATAAATTTTTAGATCTAGTTTTCTGTACTCAGAGGGATGCAGTTGTGTCGATTTCAACTGCTATTCTATTGAATATTTCACATCATTCAGCTTATACTATATCGTTACATGCAGCCAATTTAAATTTGTTTCTTAAATATAATGGCTTCTATCATGATTTTAAAAAATGTAATTATCAAGATTTAAATGAATATTTAGCCTCAATTCCTTGGAACAAGGTATTAGATGAATTAGATATAAATTGCTGCTTAGAAAATTTTTACCATATTGTATATGATGCCATCAATATGTTTGTTCCTATCAAACAGTTTAAATCATTAAACTTTCCAGTTTGGATTTCGCAAGAATTAATTGAGCTTTTCATACAGAAAAAAATAGCTCACAGGAATTTTAAAGCATCAGGCAACTCATATGAGGAATTTTCGGTGTTAAGGGAAAGATGTAAATCATTACAACCAGTATGTTATAAGAACTATTTAGAGAATATTCAAGCAAATCTTTCAAGTAATCCCCACTCTTTTTGGAGGTATGTTAGTACTACATGTGGGTCTAGTGCTTATCCTAATGTAATGTCTAATAAAGGTGGGGATGTAATAGCTCAGAATAGTGATGAAATAGTCAATCTATTTGCCAGTTATTTTTTAGGTACATATAATGATAGTGAGTATATTGTACCTAATTTTAAATTGGACTATAAAGTGGATTTCCAGATTCTGAAGTTTACTCTGACTGTTGTCTTCGAGGGGATTAGGAGTTTAATCTACATATCCTTCAGGGCCTGATGGTATACCTGCAGCACTTATTAAGAACTGTATTTTTTTTCCCTTTGTAAACCTTTATAACAAATTTTCAATTTATTATTGTCATCATCTGTATTTCCACAATATTGGAAAAATAGTTTTCTTACACCTATCTATAAATCTGGCAATTGCGAGTGTGTTAACAATTATAGAGGTATAACTATTCAATCAGCAATTCAGAAACTTCTTGATAAATTGGTATCAATAAATTTCATCTGGGCTTACAGAAACATAATTATTGATGAACAACATGGTTTTTCTAACAGGAAATCAACTGTAACTAACCTCGTCAATTACCAACAATACTTGTTGGGTGCTTTTGAGAATAAAATTCAGGTCAACAGCGCTTACACTGATTTCTCAAAGGCCTTTGACCAGGTTAATCATAATCTTTTGGTCCACAAACTTCATGCATCTGGCTTTGGTGACCCCATTGTTAATTGTATTAAAAGTCTTCTAATGGGATATACACAGCAAGTTTGTATTAACAATTATATTTCAAAAGAATTTCATTGTTATTCTGGTGTACTACAAGGGTCTCATTGCGGTCCCTTGTTTTTTAACTTGTTCATTAACGATATTGTTAAGGCTATCAAAAACTCACACTTCCTGCTATTTGCTGATGATCTTAAGTTATTTCGTTGTATACATAATAAATCGGATAGAGATCTCCTGCAAGATGATGTAAATAATATATGTTTATGGTCAAAACAAAATGGTTTAAGCTTAAATCCAACTAAATGTTTTTGTATTTTACTATATCTTAAACATAATTTATAATAATGAGTACTTTTAGAATGAATATTCACAACATGTCATCTCTCACTATTCCAAAAAAGAAGAACCAGAAGCTCCTTTATCATGTCCTCAGTGCATACTTCAATTTGAAACAAAAGAAGAGCTAAAACTTCACAAAGCCAACCATACAAAAGCATGGAAGTACTTCAAACGAAAAAGAACCAAACAAAAAGTTTCTGTTAAAAAGGATAATTATACCTGTGATATTTGTAAAAAAGGTTTTATCAAGAAGTCCCTTTTAGAGAGGCACGAGAGGATACATAGTGGAGAAAAGCCGTTTGAAGTTAGTATTCAGTTTACATCGTTTATTTTCTGAATTTTTCGTTACTCTTCAATTTACATATTGTGTTTTTAATAATTTTTTTAAATTGAAATGCCGTTAACATATTTATTAAATATAATTAATGAGCTTAACATTTTCTTGGAAAATTAAGTTACTTATATTTTATGTTTCTCTGAACATTGGCTCAGAAACATCCAATTGATGGGTAATTTTTATCAACTTTCTCTAAATGTCTGTAAATAATTATTTTTTTACTGATTATCTTTTTCAGTGTAATATATGTCAGCAAACATTCGGCCAGAAAGTAACTTTAGAAAACCATTTACTAAAACACACAGGACGTAAGCCCTTTGCTTGCTTTTTGTGCCCAGCTAGATTCAATCAAAAAGGTAATTAGTGTGTTTTCTATTTAACATAGCAAATATGCAACTGATGATGTAATTTCTAGGAAATCTTAGAGTCCACATCAACAAGACTCACACGGCGCCTCAAAACGGTCAGAAAGTGTTTAAATGCTCACAATGCTCATGTATGTTTAAGCGCATAGCATCCCTAAATGGACACGTGACGAAAGCTCATCTTACTGTAGAGTCTGCAGAAGATGGTGTAGTTAACGACGTCATGAAGAACCTGAAAGACCTAAAAACCACGAATTTTGAGTCATCTGTTACTTTAACAGAGTCTGGCAGCGAAAAAAAGTATTCAGTAAAGTTGAAAAAAATTGGTGATACGAAATGGTACAAGTGTACATATTGTTCCAAGTTGTGTAAGAAGCCTAGCGATCTTATAAGGCACATCAGGATACATACAAAGGAAAGACCTTTCGAGGTAAGACATAATATATTTTTTATCTTCCTTGTACCTTATTTTTTATCATGTATTGTACTCCTTATAGTAAAAATTTTCATCGAGCGAATTTGCCGAAAATCGCAGAAATTTTTTTGTTTTTTGGACAAATTTTAATGATTTTTATGCCGGAAATTATAAAAAGAAACCAAAAAATAATAAATAGAAACTGCTAGTACAATTGTAAAATATTTAAATCATATTAAATTATATATTAACATTGCTTAAGTCAGAATTCACGAATATGCCCACTAAGTGAAGTTCCTAGATATGCACATTGTTACCACATTTACAATTTATTTTGAATGCACATCAATTTATATTTAAAATAACAATGTAATACATATGGATACCTAGTTTACAATAATAAAATTATACAAATATATACAGAGTGGCCCAAAAGTCTGGGAACGGCTAATTATCTCGTAAATTACTAGACATAATTATACAATATTTGATATACGCCTATTTTGGAATACGGAGATTCCATATTTGGTATTTGCAATGTTGCCAGATTTTCAGTTTCCCTTATATTACTAGTAACTTTGGTTTTTCAAACGCATCACCCTGTATATTCAGTCATTATTGGAATCTCCTATTAAATACGAGTTCAACCATATGCAACACTTATGATTTATGTAGTCTGGAAGGTCTTAAATACATAAAACAGAAATCTGGTAACGCCTAAATTGTTTCAATACATTTTTTAATACTAACTATTTTCAAATACATTAAAACGTAACAATTGATAGTTTAGAATATTTTTCAACATAATAGTTACGTTATTAAGTGTTCAAAATGTGCTCCATTTGTGAGTTGACAGCACTCTAACCGATGGTAGAATGCGTCTACCACATTTTCCTATGATTGTCTAGAAATTATTCGAGATTCATCGATAATTCATTGCCTTAGCTATGCAAGACTTGCTGGTTAAGTTTTGTAAACTGAATTTTTCAAGTATCTCTAATAAAAATAATCTTTATGATTGAGATCGGGTGAACGTGGAGGTCATTCAATTCTATCTTGTCTACCAATTTATCGTCCGGGAAATATCCCATCTAAATAACGCCGAACATTTACACCAACTATCTGACGTTAAATTTATTTCGATAAAAAATGGCCAAATTAAATAAGTACCTACTATAACTGACCATACATTTAATTTTTGTGGTCTTTGAGTATGGTTTTCACGCATTCAGTGTGAATTTCACACGAGTTCAGCTATTCAATACGAGTTCAACCATATGTTCACTTGATTTTATGTAGTCTGAAAGATCTTAAATACATAAAACAGTGCAAAATATGTAGATTTTAATAAATTTAAATATTTAAATGGAGAATGCTGTGATTTTAACATTTGTTCACCATTTAAATTATGAACTTAAATTGACAGTAGTTGTGGTTCAAAAAGTTCTGCAATTTACATTGCGTCTCTAAAATGCCATTCTCTAAACCGTTCTCCTATTCATAAGACGACGGTACAAAAAACTGTTTGGAGATTTGAGGAATCTGGAGAAGTAAAAGATAGATACCGATCAGGTTAACCGAAACGAGCTATCAATGACAACAAAACTTCAGATACAAGCAAAGTTTTGTTGAAGATCCACATACATCCCCAGGCAGGGTTGCACAAGTACATGATGTAAGTCACTCTTCAGTCTTACGTTTATTACGTAAAAATAAATTTAAATCATACAAAATTAACTTATTGCAAGAATTAAGTGAAGATGACTTTGGTCGTAGATTAGAGTTTACTGAGGTAATGATGGATAAAATTGAAAATTATTAAAATTTCGTTAACAGAATATGTTTTTCCGATGAAGCAACTTTTACACTGTGTGAAAGTGTAAATCGACACAATTTAAGGTACTGGTAAGGTAATTTAAGGTAAAGATTATTTTAATTAGGGATACTTGAAAAATTCAGTTTACAAAACTTAACCAGCAACTCTTGCAGAGCTAAGGCAACGAATTATCAATGCATTTTGAATAATGTCTAGACAATCACGAGTAGGGTGCTGTCAACTCACAAATTGAGCACATTTCGATCACTTAATAACGTAACGTGAATGTTAAAAAATGTTCTAAACTATTAATTGTTACGTTTTAATGTATTTGAAAATAGTATTAAAAAATTTATTGAAACAATTTAGGCGTTGCCAGACTTCGGTTTTATGTATTTATGACCTTCCAGATTACATAAAATCATAAGTGTTACATATGGTTGAACTCGTATTGAATAGGAGATTCCAATAATGACTGAATATATAGGTATTGTTCTGAAGCTATTTTCTTGTGGCATTGTAAATTAATTACTATTTATAACTGGGAATAAGCCACATTAAAGATAAAAATACATTTATTGACGTTTCAATTTCCAATTCGGAAATCGTTCTCAAAATACAAATAGTAAATTAAACAAATTTTGTTTTTTGTTACATAGTGAAAAAATTCTTCTGATAATTTAATTTTATCTGACTCATTTATATTGACAATTCAGACATACAATATGCATTTTAAAGTAGACGACTTTAAAATGATATTGCCAATATTGTTGAGTTGCGCTCCTGGGACGACTTTACTTATAAGATAGTTCATTCGATTACATGAAATCAACTTTAACTTGAGAATATCCGTCAGAAAAAATCATAGCATGTAATTCGTCTTTAAAAAGACAAACACATGACATGATGACAGTAAAATTCTCCTGTTAGTGATTCCATAGTAAATTATGAGGGAAAAACCAGGAAAAAAAAAAAAACCTCATAATACTATCCCGACATTGTAAGTATTTGTTCGTGAATTTAGTTTACCTTCAACAAACATCAAAATTCTGATTTTATGTTACGTTATTTAAAAAACATAAATGATGTATCCTCTATATGTTACTGACTTACTAATACTGGTATTTTCTTATTAATAACTTCCTCTTTCAATATTGGTAACCAGATCCTACTACATTCTGCCGAGGAATTTGCGACACAATTGGCCTCATTTAGCATAATTAGAGCCGCTTCTTTGATTTTTCTTTTTTTACCATCCGTTTCTTTTAGGACTATATTTGAATTATTCCATTGAACTCTATGTTCATTATCCCATGCGTGTTTACATATTTGAGATCTATCAAATTCTCTATTTTTAATATAAGATTGATGTTCACTTATTCTAATATTTAATGGCCTTGATGATTCACCTAAATAAAACTGATCGCATTCACAAGGTATTTTATAAATGCAATTCTTTGTCCTTTCTTGTTCATTAATTAATATAATAATAGGTTTTTCCCTCATAATTTACTATGGAATCACTAACAGGAGAATTTTACTGTCATCATGTCATGTGTTTGTCTTTTTAAAGACGAATTACATGCTATGATTTTTTCTGACGGATATTCTCAAGTTAAAGTTGATTTCATGTAATCGAATGAACTATCTTATAAGTAAAGTCGTCCCAGGAGCGCAACTCAACAATATTGGCAATATCATTTTAAAGTCGTCTACTTTAAAATGCATATTGTATGTCTGAATTGTCAATATAAATGAGTCAGATAAAATTAAATTATCAGAAGAATTTTTTCACTATGTAACAAAAAACAAAATTTGTTTAATTTACTATTTGTATTTTGAGAACGATTTCCGAATTGGAAATTGAAACGTCAATAAATGTATTTTTATCTTTAATGTGGCTTATTCCCAGTTATAAATAGTAATGAATATATAGGGTGATATATTTGAAAAACCAAAGTTACTAATAATATAAGAAAAACAGCAAATCTGGCAACATTGTAAATATCAAATATGGAATCTCCTTATCCCAAAATAGGTGTACCTCAAATTTTGTACAATTATAATCAGCATTTTATGAGATAATTAGCCGTGTCCAGACTTTTGGACCACTCTGTATATCATTTCATAATACCCTACATTCTCTACTATCTCAACAATATGGCAACCCTGTACGAAAATGTCAACGTCATAACTAAATACTGTACAATTTAAACTTTAAAACGAATACTGTATAATATATTATTTGAGATTTTTGACTAAATTTGCATCACATATTCTTCTTAAGCGTTTTTTGTTGTTTTAGTGTAAATTGTGCCCTGCGACATTTACTTCCAAGTCTGCCGTACATAATCACAAGAAGCTGCATTTCGGTAAGAAATTCAAATGCGATGTTTGTGACAGCGTTTTAGATTCAAATATGGAATACTTAAATCATCTACAGTAAGTAATGACTTTCAAAACAGACAAATTTGACATTTAGACATGTATATCTCAGACCAACGGAATAATAGTGTACTAAAACTGCACATCATAAGGTGTGGTGTGACTATTATATTATTCCGTTATTTATAAATATGAATAAATATACTCCGTCCGTTATTTCTTTGAATTTAAGTGGTAATTAAATTTATACCAATTGAATCACAACCGTTAATATTTGTGTATTTTTTTATATACAGATAACGACATTGTTTTGTAATAGGAATTAAGGTTTATTGCAATCCCATCTCTAGAGTCTATTTGAAGACACAAGTGAATAAAGGATCTATGTAACATAAACAACTTTTCAAGTAAAATGAATTCAAAGTTTTTTAATTAGAACTTTTTATTAATAAGCCTAGAATGATACAATTTTGAAGAAACTTATACCTTAAAGTACACTTTTTAATAATGATAATTTAACAATAATAATTCACAACTAAAGAAAAATATTTAATTATAAATGTACATAAATCCTTTATTCCCTAAGTAACTTAGGCAAACATTTCTAATTCAAAATGCATAAAGGATACAAGAAACAATAAAACGATGTAAAACCAAATGTTATTTCTAATTCGTTCTTCTTTTTTTTTTTATTTATTTCATCTTCGATTTCTGCGCCTTCTTTATTTTCCCATATAACTTCTAATACCAAACCTTCTCCTGAATTCGCCCTTACATTTTTTTATTATATCCACTTTAAGAACGGCGTGTTTGGGTCTAAGGAGTTTTTGTAGTCATATTCACCGTAGCTATCCACACGTATCCATTTGATATCATCTCTAAAATTTATTTTATCTCCACAGCAATTCTTTTTTCTATTTAATAAGTGTAATTTATTTTCTATGTCTGCTATATTTTTAAAATGGTCGGTCATATTTATAATAACAGAACATTTTTACTTGATTCTCTTATAATATCTCTATATTGATCTGCAGCATATATAGTCTCAACTTTTCGTAATTTCTTTTCAATTATTCCAAAATCTCTATCAGAATCTAAAAAGGAATGCCCTACTTCTGGAAATTTATGGTCTATTATCTTCACGTATCCCTTTAAAATTAAGTACTGATATAGGCATATTAGGTTAAAATTTTTGTTCTGCTCTGCACACGAGTCAGACCATATGAGAAGATGGTTTATTTCTTTCTTTCTGCTTGTTAAAAGTTGAACAAATGTGTGCAAGCTACTGCCAACTTCAAGACTGCCCTTCGTTGCTACATCTTCGGTCCAATTAAAAAAGTAGGCTTTATCACCCTCTGACGTTATTGAGAGGATTCCAAAATTATAGAACCACATCTGTCTCAAATAAAATGCCTTAGAAGTAGTAAGGCGTGGTAAAGGCATGGTCTGTTGTAGGTCCATGGTTAAATAGCATATTTCTTTATTATTATGTGCCCGTTCTCTATCAACTTTTTGTTGCTCAAAAGCAAATTTAAATTTTTCTTTGTGGATCTCATCTCCTAAATTGGCATCGCACATACTGCATGTATCACTTTTGGGCTGGCCAAAAGACAAATTAAATTCTGATGAGAAAATGTGCGTATAAAAATATTTTGAAACCAAAAACCGTTTGTCCATCTTAGTTTCTTGAACATATTCTTGATACAATTCATGCAGTTTTGTTATATTTAACAAGGGAGACAAATACATTTTATTGGCATTTTTGTTTCGCGAACAAATGTTTTTTATTTGATATTTGGTAAAGGGAAATAAAGGCAGTCTTCCAGGCAGTTTTGATACGTGTCTGACACGTTATTGTGTAACCAAATGTATATGATTTATTTTAACTAATGTTTTTTCTATGGCGATTAATTGGCATAATCGAAACAGGTTTAAGGAGACAGTCTCATGCGATTAAAAAAAAAAAGACACATTTTAAAATTAAAACAGAAAAAAAGACTATAATATTTATTAACATAATTCCTTTTGGAGATGATTAAGTAAGTCTTGAAGTACATAAAAAAAATTTAATAGCGATTTTAACTTCATTGGAGTCCTGTAGATGGCGTGTAGTAAAAAGTGCGTTTTTGGTGGTAAGACACTTTGTGGGTCACCTGTAACAGATATTCAAAAAATTCAAAATGGGTTGTATTCGTGAGACTCAAAACTAGATGATAAACCTTTAAAATATGCAAATTGTATTATTTTGAAGAGTTTATACGAATTTTTTCAAAAAAGTCGAAAAATCTCTATATTTTTCGGTGGATTTACCCATATATAATAAAATGGGGGGTGGTTTTTAAATATTTTAAAGGTTTATCATCTAGTATTTTGTATGTACATTCGAAAAATTTTGGTTTTTTAAAATCGGTTAAGAAGGTTCGGAGAAAAGTGTCTGACCAGTTTGAAAATGTTACTTTTGAGAAAAAAGCATTTAAAGTTTTTTTTACATAATTTTCGTGAATGAAAGGCTGATAACTTTATACTCACGTTTAATCGGCCATTCCTGGTGAATATTGAGGACCCTCTTCATCCAACAGTTATTGTAAATGGCTTTGTAAAGCTGTAAATTTCAATACAACGTCGCGATGTTTTATAATTAATTCATTTGTTCATGTTCGACTGGAGTCTCAATTCACGCCGCGATGCTGCCAGTGTAAGTGTAAAAACGGAACACACCTAGATCGAATGTCAATTCAACGAAAACGTACTTATTTGCAAATGTAGATATGAAAATATTTTATAACTAAAAAAATGGTTATGTTTTATTGCCAAAACGGCTTGAAAAAAAAGTTGATTTCTAAAATAAAAAATAAAAAGGAATTTTAAAAATAAAATAATTATATTACACTATTTTTAATTTGAAATTATAAACAATATTTGGAATAATAAATGTATTTAAGTATAAATTTTATAACTCAAATAATACCTAATGAACATAAACAAAATTGATGTTAATAAAACATTATTTATTATCTGCACAAAACCGGACTTTCAGGAAAAATCGGTAGACGGAGCAACACTGTCGGCGTGCCATATACGCTACTATCGGCGTGCCATATACGCTACTATAAACCGCTAAGGAGAAGTAATCCAGTGAAACAAATAAATTTACACTGGTTAATTGCAACGCAGAGAATCTTAGTATTTGTAAAAAAATTCTATGTTCCGGATTTAAAATTCCAAATCCAAATGTGTATAGTAAACGCCAAACGTTATACAGATATACATACTATATAAAAATTAATCACTAATACGTACCCAACGTATATACAACATATATACAAAAGCAAGATCAGCTGGAGCCTCGCGCTCGCCGCGCGGAGAGAAACCGGTTTTCATACGTGCGTAGATGACGTTAATAAAATAACTATAACTTATATTCTAGTGAGAATTTCTTTTTAAAATTTTAGGAGGGAGTTTTTGAATGTATATGGAAGCGATTTATAAACAAAAAAAAATTGATTTTTTGAAAGTTTCGCATGAGACTGTCCCCTTAAAAAGTAATGAGTTTTTTGCATTTTGATCTAATGCGTAAAACTTACGAAATATTGTTTCCCTATCAAACTTGTTAAATTACTCATCACATTTCTTTTTGCAATTTTCTTTTTTGCATAAAGATCCTAATTCGGGACTTTTGGTTGGCATTTTTTTTTACTTTTTAAGGACATGTATGTCTCACCTCTCTGTCTCGCTAAGGCAGTCTTATTCTTCTTCCATGTTTCAGGACGGCGTTTCCTTATTCTTGATTTTTTTTCTGGCAAATTGAATACCTTTCTCTTAACATTATGTCTAGATATTAAAAGACTTTCCTTCCTGTCCAATAGATTTTCAGTATTTTCATGTTGAGTTATAAGTAAAACTGAATCTTCTACTGTGACATGTGGTACTGATACGGAATGACTTTCATCCTCACAATCAGAATCTTCAAAACTTTCGCTCGAATCAGTACTATCTGGATTGTAGTTGTCTGAAGTATATTCTGGAGAAATTACTTCATCTTCAGATATAGAATCTACAATTTAAAATTTTGTTTAAACATATAGGGTAGGTAGGTTACTTTATAATTTTTATCTGTAGACCAAAACCTTTAAACAATTTAATTTTAGAATGAATATTTACCGTTAAATGTATCTTGCAACTCCGGTGAAGATATCTGCTTTTCATGCAGGATATTCTCGATTCTCGGTGGAGTTTTATCTTGTTTAGGTAAAGTTTCGGCAATATCTACGACAATAAAGTTATGCTTAATCTCTTTTTATCTGATCAAGTTGTTCTACAATGTTTAAATAATAACGGTACGATTTTAGATGTAAAGAACAACATAACCTAACTTTAGGGATCTATGTAACATGACATGACAACAGCAATCCGTTTGGTCAGACATAAAAGATCTATGATACAATATTGAGCACATGGATCTTTTATGCACTTTTGTAATAAAATATTGCTTGGTACATAGATCCTTTATCCCCTAAATAAATCGTTGCTAAACGTTTTTAAGCCAAATAAATCTTATGAAGCAAATTTAGGGGTTAAAACAGACCTACTGAGCCTAAAAACTGATTTTTTTTTAAATGTTACATAGATCCTTTATGCACTTGTGTCTTCATTTATTATAATGCTCTAAAACTATTCGATGCTTTTGACGAATTTTCGTTGATTTTTGTCTCATTTTGGAGCTTTTAAACGATTTTCTTGTTTTAACTTTTTTTGGTGATTTTTCTACGTATCTTCTGTGTTTCTGAGACATTTTCGGACATATATAATAATCAATTTTTGAATAATGTCATAATTATAGTAATGTACAACGAACCAGCGGTACATAATACACGAATTAATGTCTATTGAATGAATCGAGATATACGTGACGTTATTTATTTTTTTTATTCATTCATGGTGTACATTTCTATATTTTGTTATTTTCAGCAAAGGAGAATGTGGAAAATTGCTGTTAAAAGAATCACCGGACCAAGCAGAATCTGTAATTAATAAAGTACCCAAACAAACGGATAAAACAGGTTCTGGTAATAGATTTAAATTATATTTATTTTTATTCTTACTGCTATAAAACAATGATTTTTTTTAAACTAGCTACCTCATTTGAAATCTCCCGTGTGTTAATATTTTCTTTAAACCACAAAATATTTAAAATTGTCGTCGAAGGAAGATCGAATTACGTGAAATGGGCTTCAAGAGATTAGGAAAGGTACACAATCATATTCTCCATAATCTACAAGTGTGATTGTAATCCAAGCTATGAATTTTTGGAAATTAATAAGGTCTTTCTTGCCTTCTAAAATTAATTATGCTTCGACCACTCTTTTTAGATACTTTCGACTTATTTTGGATATATGTTCGATACTATTGCCTTTTTTTCGATGTTTTTAATGAGTTTTCGATACTATGTCGTTTTTACTAGGAAATTTGTTCATTTTTAATCTGGTTTGACTTTTTAACACGTTTTAGATATTTTCGTATTGCTTTTTAAAGTATTTTCGACTTTTGTGTCCATTTATCAAACATTTTCGATGCGTTTGAAGCATTTTTGGATATTTTGAACACTGAAGATTTTCGAAGACACATAATTTTTTAATTCATCTTTTTTGCTTCTTATTTTCGATTCTTTTGAAACAGCTTCGAAGTTTTCGAAAATTTTTTCATGATTTTTCAAAGCTTATTTATCTTTTTTGGCGTCTTTCACCTTCGTCGCGTTTTTTACACAATTCTTCGTTTTTGCAATACCTTCCATCACAAGCTTTTTTACAAATTTTCGATGCATTGACGCCTGTTTGTTGCGTTTTTAGGCCTATACCTTATACTATTTGGCGATTATTCGATGCAAATTTAAGGCCTTCGATGTTTTGACTCTTTTTATAACGTTTCTAACGCTTTTCTTTTGGCCTTCCAATGCATTTCTTTGGTTTTCCAACTTTTTGGAAAATTTTGGTATATTTTCGATGTTTTGAAGCATTTTGAATAATGTTTAGATTATTTTCGAACATGTTTGACACGTTTTGAACATTTTTGATACTTTTACCACTTTTTCATTATTCTTTCAACTTTCAACATACTTGTTTGTTGCGTTTTTTAGGCCTTTTATACTTTTGGCGATTTTTCGATGAAATTTTGATGTCTTCGAGATGATTTTCACTGATTTTATAACGCTTTTTCGTTGGTTTTTTAAACTTTACGAAAATTTTTGACGTATTTTCGATGCTTTTGAAGCATTTTCAACCAGTTTTCGACCACTTTCAACCATTTTTTGACTATTTTAGATACTTTTTGACATTTTAAACGGTTTTTACACGATTTTTAGTTGGATTTTCAAATTTTTAGAAAATTTTGAAATATTTTCGATGCCTTCGAAGTATTTTCAGTCATTTTTCGATAATTTTCGAGCATTTCAGTCGTTTTTTACCCTTTTTGATACTCGTAACGCTTTAACAAGCTTTCTCGTTATTCTTTTAACTTTCAACACACAGTTTTGATGCCTTCGATGATTTTCACAAATTTTCTAACGCTTTTTCGTTGTTTTTTTCAAATTTTTAGAAACTTTTGACGTATTTTCGCTACTTTTGAAGCATTTTCAACCAGTTTTCGACCATTTTCAACCATTTTTTGACTATTTTCGATACTTTTTGACACTTTAAACGGTTTTTACACGATTTTTAGTTGTTCTTTCAATCTTCAGCATACCTGTTTGTTTCGTTTTTTTTGCATTTTATACTTTTTAGCGATTGTTCGATGCAATTTTGACACATTCGATGCTTTTGAATCTTCTTCTAACGTTTCTCACGAACAATCGTTGGATTTTCAACTGTTTGGAAAATTTTGAAATATTTTCGATGCCTTCGAAGTATTTTCATTGATGTTTCGCTAATTTTCGAGCATTTCAGTGTTTTTTTTAACCTTTTTGATACTTGTAACGCTTTAACAAGCTTTTTCGTTATTATTTTAATTTTTAACACACATGTTTGTTGATTTTTAAAGTATTTTATACATTTGGCGATTGTTCGATGCAGTTTTAATGCATTCGATGATTTTCACTGATTTTCTAACGCTTTTTCGTTCGTTTTTTCAAACTCTTGGAAAATATTTGACGTCTTGTGAATGCTTTTAAAGCATTTTCAATCAGTTTTTGACCTTTTTCAACCATTTTTCGACCATTTTCGATACTTTTTGACACTTTTAACGCACTTTACACGTTTTTTAGTTTTTTTAACTTCAGCATATCTCTTTGTAGTGTTTTTTGTCTTGTAATACTTTTTGGCGATTGTTCGATTCAATTTTGACGCATTCGATGCTTTTGGTTCTTCTTCTGACGTTTCTAATGAATTTTCGTTGGTTATTTACATTTTTGAAAAATTTTGAAATATTTTCGATGTCTTCGAAGCATTTTCAGTCATTTTTTGATCATTTTCGAGCATTTTTGACGTTTGACCCTTTTTGATGCTTTTAAACTCTTAACATCTTTTTTTTGTTGTTGTTTAGATTATCAACATACCTTTTCCTTGCGTTTTTCCCACTTTTTTGGAGATTGCTCGATGCAATTTTGATCTTCGATGTTCATGTTCGAGCATTTTTTATGCTTTTTGACCCTTTTTGTTGCTTTCAACGGATTTTACATGCGTTTTAGTTGTTCTTTCGACTTTTAACATACCTGTTTTTAATTCCTTTAATTCCTTTTATTTTGATTATTTTCGAGTAGTTTTGATGTTTCTAAAAAATTTTCGTTGTTTTTTCAAGATTTTTACTGCATGGTCGACGCAATTTCAATGTGATCAGATCAACGCTTTTTAGATTTTTTTTGACACTTGATCGGCAACGATACGGGATCAAAATGTCAGATGTCTTGGTGGAAGATATCTTTTTTGCGAGAAAGACGGACATTTTTTCCTTAAATCGTCGTCTGAAAGGTCCAATAAATCTAAAAAGTACACGCCAGTTATTTCTGAATCTTTTTTCTAAATAAGCAATCAGAATGATACCTTTTGATTCTTAAAAACGTCGCCTCATTTTTTCGACTGATTTCAAGGCCTTATTCAGTATGCATTCCTCGGTTTTTCACCATTAACATCATGTCCCGTCGTCTCTGGTGTGTAGAAGAGCTTTATCATTGATAAAAAATTGTCCGAATTCCGCACGAGTTCCGCTTTTTGTCGACATTGAATAAAACAATTGGAAATTGTAGCCATCTCTGAAATAATTCAATGCCTCCACACATTCGCCTCACGAACTGTTTTTTTTTTGTCTTGCAATTATTATAAATTGACTATTTGACACTTGTATTTGCCATTTTATGATAAATAAAACTATAATCTTTTTAGATGTAGTCCCGGAAATTTCAGCTCCAAACACTTCAGAGGCAGCCGTAGCAAAACCGTTCCATTGCACGATGTGTAGTGCAAGATTTATCAAAAAGACCAATTTGCACAAGCACTTCCAGACACACGAAGGAGAGAAATTTTACAAGTGTCCTTCGTGCTCAAAGTAAGTGAATTGCCATGGTTTTCATTTAAAATATGACATATTTTATTATTTTAGAGTATTTATGAGTATGCACCAGTTGAAAGAACACACGAGTCAGCACACTAACAACAAAAAGTACCATTGTAAGATTTGTAGTAAGAAGTTTCCTACAGTTGCAAGGTTTCGAAGGCATATGGCGCATCATGCCGTCACAAAAACGTTAAAATGTCCATATTGTCCTAGAATTTTCCCAAACGTGGAACTCACTAAAATTCACCTTAAGATTTTTCACAAAAAAGGTCTGATAGTGGAGGTAAGCATTAAATAAATGTTATAACTGAAAAAAAATACTTGGGTTTAGGAAATACACGATTGTCATTGAAATTTTAACGTTTATGTAGGAGAAAGTCGCCTACATTTAAGTTAGTAATATTCTACTAACTTCATTAAAAGGTTATTAAGCAAATAATATTATTTATAAACACAATTCGCATATAAACTGTTTTACTTTTTTTTCCACATGTACATATTACACCGAATCCATATTTCTTTTGATTAAGGTCAGGAGTACAAAGAAAATATTGTTCTGAAGCTATTTTCTTGTGGCATTGTAAATTAATTACTATTAAACTGGGAATAAGCCACAATTAAAGATAAAAATACGTTTATTGACGTTTCAATTTCCACTTCGGAAATCGTTCTCAAAATACAAACAGTAAATTAAAAAAATTTTGTTTTTTGTTACATAGTGAAAAATTCTTCTAATTTAATTTTATCTAACTAATTTATATTGACAATTCAGACATACATTATGCATTTTAAAGTAGACGACTTTAAAATGATATTGCCAATATTGTTGAGTTGCGCTCCTGGGACGACTTTACTTATAAGATAGTTCATTCGATTACATGAAATCAACTTTAACTTGAGAATATCCGTCAGAAAAAAATGATAGCATGTAATTCGTCTTTAAAAAGACAAACACATGACATGATGACAGTAAAATTCTCCTGTTAGTGATTCCATAGTAAATTATGAGGGAAAAACCAGGAAAAAAACCTCATAATACTATCCCGACATTGTAAGTATTTGTTCGTGAATTTAGTTTACCTTCAACAAACATCAAAATTCTGATTTTATATGTTACGTTATTTAAAAAAATATAAATGATGTATCCTCTATATGTTACTGACTTACTAATACTGGTATTTTCTTATTAATAACTTCCTCTTTCAATATTGGTAACCAGATCCTACTACATTCTGCCGAGGAATTTGCGACATAATTGGCCTCATTTAGCATAATTAGAGCCGCTTCTTTGATTTTTCTTTTTTTACCATCCGTTTCTTTTAGGACTACATTTGAATTATTCCATTGAACCCTATGTTCATTATCCCATGCGTGTTTACAGATTTGAGATCTATTAAATTCTCTATTTTTAATATAAGATTGATGTTCACTTATTCTAACATTTAATGGCCTTGATGATTCACCTAAATAAAACTGATCGCACTCAAAAGGTATTTTATAAATGCAATTTTTTGTCCTTTCTTGTTCATTGTTAGGTTTGGTTTTGGACAAAATAGATCTCAACGTGTTTGTTGTTTTGAATGTTGTTGAAATGTTGAATTTATTTCCTATCCTTTTAAGTTTTTCTGATAATCCTTTTATGTACGGTATTATTTTCCTCATATTATTCCTTGTGTATGCTGTAGGATCTCGTTCTAAGTTGTTCTGTTCTATTCGATCGATTGTTGAAAATTCCTTATTTATAAACGATAAAGGATAATCATTTTTTAATAAAACAGATGTTAACAAATGTTTCTTCTCCAAGAACGAATTTTCGTTAGAACAAGTAATTTTGGCTCTATCGTATAAGGATTTAATTATTCCCTTTTTTACATTAATATTATGATTTGATTTGAAATTTAAATATCTATTGGTGTGTGTTGGTTTTCTATACACCTGAGTCTCATATCCAGTATCGTTCTTAGAGATTAAAACATCCAGGAAAGGTAGCGTGTTATTATATTCCTTTTTCATGGTAAATGTTATTGTCTCTTCTTTATCGTTTATATCATTTAGGAATGTGTCCAACACATGGACGTCCAACACATGGACGTCCATGGTCCAACAACTCTGATCCATGAGGCCATATTGAGAATACATCATCTACATATCTCCACCATACTGTGGGATTGAAATTTTGTTTAGAAATGATATTTGTTTCAAAATCTTCCATAAATATATCGGCTAAGAATAGAGATAAACTAGAGCCCATTGCTAGACCAAAATTTTGTTTATAGAATTCATTATTTAGTTGAAAATATGTATTATCAGTACATAATGTTAATAACTCCATTATAGCCGATATGTTTAGTCTTGTTCTAGTTGCCAATGAATCATCATTCTCTAATTTTGTCTTGACTATACCTACTTAAAGTCTTATTTAATGGCACATTCGTAAATAAACTATTTATGTCAAAACTTACCAAAGTATGATTTGAATTAAATTCAATATTTGATAATTTATTTAAAAAATGTTGTGTATTTTTTAAGAATGTATCATTTTTATTTGTAAATGGTTTTAAAATATTTAATAAAAATTTTGATAGTTCACTACAAGGAGAATTCATGGTACTACAAATGGGTCTAAGTGGTATATTTGTTTTATGAATTTTCGGTACTCCATAAAAATGAGGAGTCTTACTGTAATGAGGTGTAATTAATCCTCTCTGATAACTTGTTAAAACATCTTTAAACTTGAATAAAGTTCTATATATTTTGTTTTCCAAAGACTTGTGAAACTGTGTGGAAAATGTGTTTTGTACAAAGAAAAGGAAAGAAAATTAAGATTTGATTCCACGTATAGTGCGTCTGTTTATCTGAACGTGAACAATCTTTCCTGTCATAGTAAAAGCAACACTAAAATGGCTTCGATCTGGACGCATTAGCGACATCTGATAAATAAATCCGTAAACTAATTTTCGAAACCAAATTCAGATTTCTGCTTTAATCTGTGACTTCTAAGAATCGCAAGGCAAAACAGACGTTGATAAAGATGTAATTAGAGACATTAGGAATCTATAATTGCATTCCACAACATATCTCATCAACTAAGCAAATATCCTTATCGAACTGGTTTCTCGTACTTATAAAGAGTATATAGAAATAAAAGGAAAGACAGTTAATATTTGATTTCACGTATAGTGCATCTGTGTATCCGTTTATACGTATTTCACCCTAAAAGGGATCTTCGAAGCGGCTATTCACAAAGGAAGCCATTCCAGATCGAAGCCATTTTAGTGTTGTTTCTACTATGATAGCAAAGATTGTTTTTACGTCCAGAGAAATAATTACTTTTCTTAAATTAATACGCACCTTCTATTTCATTGACATTACTGGTATTTGAAGAATAATTTAAATCAGTATATTGTGCTTGCGCCTTTTTAACCAACCTTTTTCCGCGTTGAGACATTTTTATACCTAGCATTATGTTAAAAATTACTCCTCGACAATTGACTGAATTCAGTAGAGGAATGACGCGAATAGCATATTACTTATCTATAGTACCCTACAGTATATTACATATCTCTGAGCGAATTTTTCTGTTGTATTCTGTTTCACTTAACGTTTATTATGACCTCGAGACATCAGGTAATGGAAGGAGGAAGCAGTGTTGTCATTTGCGATGTGTAATAAACTAGGTAGCTTATGAATGGAAAAAGGCGTTATGTGCCCATAACTCCTTATTCCAGTATCTATTAATAATTTTACTGTACTTAACACCTTATGCGTTTGTGTATTACCGTTAATATGCTAGATAGAGTTTTTCCATGACAAAACTAAGTTTTTTGTAAAATTCTTACATAACACCTTCTTCCTCTAGGCCCTTCAATTATGTTGCCGAACTAAAAATGAGGAATATCAACTGTTTTTTGAATAAATTAAATGATATTCTGCATTTTTTCATTGAAAATGTTATACACTCATGACTCGTACCATACTTTCAATACCAACTTTCTTTACTTTTTAGGAAAGTGAACCAGCAAATGATATTCACGAGCCTACAGCAATTACAACAGCTATAAGTAAATCTGAATCAGTGGAAGATGAACAGTGTGAAAATGCTGTAGCTACAGAAGTTATTAATATAGATAATGCAGAACCTATAGGAGATGCTCAAATAAATGCGGATTTTCAGACCTTCAGCGTTAATTTGGAGGATATCCAATTACTTAACAATGGTGTATTTAGTACTTTGGTAGAAAATGTAACGGTAAGTGAAAGTGAATTTGATTTTGTCCTCTGAGTATCAAAGAATCATATAAAATTTAAATAGATTTGTTAATAGTTGTCATTAAACAGGTGACGCTACTGAGAACAGAACACCATATATCGTAAGAGATATTAGCTAAGTTATAGTAACAAAATGTATTTTTCGTCAATAAGTTCTTAGAGTGCCGTCTCTCTACGGAGGTTGGCAATCATAATGACTATCATGAATGTGTTGCTTGTGTGAGTCCATTTCAAATAGGTAAAGAAATAATAAATAAGACTTACTCACAATCAATTTAATTTAACTATCCAGACGACCGGTTTTGCTTTTTACAATATGCAAAGCATCTTCAGGTCTCGATACAAAGTTAAATAAATGCTGAAATAATAAAAACCCATATTAGGGTGTTGTCTAATAAAGATAAACAAATTAGATGTTATAAATTACAATAATTATGCCAATATTACATGTCTGTGGTTTTTCAACATGAATAAATAGGAATAAAAAGGTATAAAAAAGTTTTAAACAGACAAGGTAAGACCCACAAATTGTTATAAAATAGTCTATTAGATTGTTATAAATTAATAAATGAGCAAATAAATAAACATTACTTACATGCCGGTACTCTATTAATTGATGGATGGTAGAACATGGTTAAAACTATCATGTATTGTTCAATGGAGAACTTAAGTCTGCTATTGTAGTTGTTTGACAATAAACGGGCAGTTCTTGTGGAGATAGATTTGATCCAATGAAGTAGAGATAGGTGTAATGTGATAGTTTTTTAGATGAAAGTGATGTTATATACCATTGTATTAAAAGTTATTTATACTTATTCAAGAGATATATTTATGAAATGTGTGTTATTTATTGAGTATTTGTTTTATGAAGGTGACAGTTTTATGACAATGAATAAGCTTAGATGTACAAATTGTGTGGGTGTGCAATTCTTTCAACTTGTAATTATCAAATTTCTTTGATAAAGTTCTATTGGCAAAATGGTAGATTATTGCAAAGTCGAGTATATAAAATATTAAAGTATTAATGTTAAAACCATTAAGGACAATTTAAACACACTTATTTTTATTAAATTTAATTAATTAAATATTGTTAAAGTATGCCAATATTTAACACATCAATTTACTTTTGATATCTTAATTAAAACAATTTAGAGACATTCATTAATATCAGCATATTTCATAAAACTAGATAACTTAACTTGCAGTATTGAGAAATAGAAGAAGAACTGTCACATGTTAACCTACACCTGTCAAATTTACCTCTAATATCTAATAGATAACATAAAAACTCATTGTGTCCAAGACTGAGATGTAGTGCATAAAAGTCCTTCCCCCGTTTTAAATTTAATGTTTGTTTCGTCCCTTCTAAGTGTTTTCTGTTTTAGTGTGTTTAAATTGTCCTTAATGGTTTTAACTTTAATACTTTAATATTTTATATACTCGACTTTGCAATAATCTACCATTTTGCCAATAGAACTTTATCAAAGAAATTTGATAATTACAAGTTGAAAGAATTGCACACCCACACAATTTGTACATCTTATTTTATAGCTTATTCATTGTCATAAAACTGTCACCTTCATAAAACAAATACTCAATAAATAACACACATTTCATAAATATATCTCTTGAATAAGTATAAATAACTTTTAAATAATACAATGGTATATAACATCACTTTCATCTAACAAACAATCACATTACACCTATCTCTACTTCATTGGATCAAATCTATCTCCTCAAGAACTTCCTGTTTATTGCCAAACAACTACAATAGCAGACTTAAGTTCTCCATTCAACAATACATGATAGTTTCAACCATGTTCTACCATCCATCAATTAATAAAGTACCGGCATGTAAGTAATGTTTATTTATTTGCTCATTTATTAATTTATTACAATCTAATAGACTATTTTATAACAATTTGTGGGTCTTACCTTGTCTGTTAAAACTTTTTTATACCTTTTTATTCCTATTTATTCATTTTGAAAAACCACAGACATGTAATATTGGCATAATTATTGTAATTTATAACATCTAATTTGTTTATCTTTATTAGACAACACCCTAATATGGGTTTTTATTATTTCAGCATTTATTTAACTTTGTATCGAGACCTGAAGATACTTTGCATATTGTAGAAAGCGAAACCGGTCGTCTGAATAGTTAAATTAAATTGATTGTGAGTCTTATTTATTATTTCTTGACCTATTTTTCATAATGACTATTTTTATTTTTGAACTTGCTGCTCTAAACAAATCGATCGATCTGCATTGATACCAATCACGTAGATTCTTTAACCATGAGTTCTACCTTCGGCCAACAGATCTTCGTTGTATCTTTCCCTGTATTATAAGTCTTAAATTTCATATTTTGGACCCCTCATCACCTGGCCTTGGTATTCCACTTTTCTGGTTTCTATAGTGGTGATTAGTTCTGTTTTTTACCAACCCTCTACAGTACTTTGTAATTCTATCAGTCTATGATATTTTTAATACTCTGCGGAATAACCAGAGTTCGAAAGCCTCGATTCTTTTTAAATGACGATTCTCGTCAATAAATAGATATTACTGAATGATATAACCAGTTACGGAGATGTTGAAGAAGAAGTACGACAACAAAGCTTAAAAGCAAGTAAAGCGGCGAGTTCTCTTAATGACAATCTGGAAGAACAAACAGCTAAGACCAGACACAAAAACAAGAATCTATAAATCAGCAATTAGACCTATAACCCATTTGATCCCACGACATTTTTTTTTCGATAATACAAGATTTTTTTGAATATCCTTGTTGAATCTGGGTTAAATAGTAACAATTCATTGTTATTTGACAAAAAAAATTTAAATTTTTAACAAAAAGTAGGTGTACTCATACGAGTACAATGGGCTGATCGGGAGTCAAAAATATAAAACATTGTGTAAAAATGAAAATATTTTATTTTCTTCTTATATATAGGTACATACTTGGTTACATCCTGTATTATAATCTAACGAGTATGAAATTGTACAAAACAATCACGTTCAATACACAGAGTAACTTCACACTTTATACAAGTCCAACGTACTCTTTGATGGCATAAGCGACATCGAAGTTGTTTGTCTATTTTCTTAGGAAAATGACCGCTTCCATCCATTTTTAGACTAATTGGTACAGATCCTGCTAGTCGTTTTTTAGAATAAGTAGATTTCCCAAAACTTCTTACATAATGACGTACTACATCTCGTTGAAAATCCAAAAGATCCATTTCTTTATTTCCAGCAAATATTTGTAACCTTCACAAGTTAACAAGAGCTGAGTTGAGCATGTGGATAAAAATGGGCGACCACCATTTTTTACCTTGTATACTGACTCGGTAGTTATTAACCGATTGGTCAAAGAGATCAACACCGCCCATTGAAGCATTGTATGATGAGAAAAGATTTGGTTGGGGTACATCAATTTTTTGTTTGGCAGCAGCACTCCAACGGTACACTTTTGAAAGTGGTTCAATACTATCGTAATTTGATGCCATTGTGACAACATTGTTGTCGTTCCATTTTACAAAAAGTAGTAGACTTGTCTTGTCAAAGCGATATTCGAAATATCCACGATTCTTCTTTTTAATTACAGCGGAAGGTAACAAAGGACATTTTTTTATACGATTTTCTCTTGCTGTGCCTGTTGCTCTAAAGCCCTTCTCTTTTAAAGTTTCCATCAAATTGTAACTAGTAAAATAATTGTCAAAAAATACTTCGTGATCAGTAGGCACATCAACGACATCAAGCATTTTTAGAACAACTTGTGATCCTAAAGGCAACGCCGCGACTTTTGGTTTATCCACTGATGCTCCACAATATGTGTCAAAATTGTAGCAATAACCAGTTGAACTACAAAGCATCCAGTCCTTGTACCCGAATCTTACTGGCTTTCCCCTTATGAACTGTTTTGATGAGTGATGCCCAAAATACTTTATCATCGCTTCATCAATTGATAAGTCTTTGTGGAATATGCCAAATTGTTGAAATTTTTTATTTAGTTTGTTCATGAGAGGCCTCACTTTATACATTTTGTCCCTTGTATCAATTTTCGAATTATCTGCCAAATGTAGGTATTTTTTAATTTCTTGGAAACGGTTCCTTGAAATTGCATTAGCCACGAAGGGAATATGAAGATCCTCATCTAAACACCAATAGTTGCGCTCTCGTGGCAATCTATGGTATCCAGTAAAAAGTAAAACAGCCAGAAATATCTTTATCTCTTCCTGCGTTACATGAAATTGATGGTTATTATTTTGAGCGGCATATAAATTTGTCTGCTGTGTAATATATTCAATAATTTCATTGTCGAAAAATTTCTCAAATATTTCTATAGGATATTTACCTCGGATTTGTTCTTTCATATTATCCAGATGACCCTCGTAACCTGTTGTAGATGTCATATTAATGTCAGTAATTTCTTCCGTCCAGTCAGATTCCTTTGTTTTATTTTGACTCTTCAGTAAATTTTCTCTTCTAATGGCAAGAGGAAGATTATCTTCTTCGTCGTCATCAGAGTCATCACTCGTGTAATAAACCTCTATTTCTCCGGGAACGTCATTCGGAAGGCTTTGAGTCTGAAGATCATCCTCATCTATGTCGTCATTGTCAGTTTGATAGTCAATCTCAGGAGGAATGACTACCACTGATGCATCTTTATGAGTGGAACTCGCTATGTCATCTGAAGCTAAAGCAAGAGTTCTATAACGTTTTCCATAAAACCCAATGGGACTAATAGGCGGCAATTCTTGAAAATCCATTATAATACCAATATTGAACCTGAAACAATAAAAAACCATTTAATCATTTTGATCTCATACAAACCCACTGTACTCAGACGAGTACAGATCTATTTTGTAACATAAAAACAAAAATAATAAAAAAAATCTTATACTGAATAAATAAACATTACTAGTACTTACCCTTACAACAGTAAAAGTTAAAAAAATGATAAATAATATCAAAATCACAAAATAACCAGCACTTCAATAATCCAACAGAAATATCGAGGTTAGGTTATAATTACTGCGGTCAAAATACGAAGAAGAGCGCCACCTAGGGTATAATTTGTGAAAATCTAGTAGAACACTTCCTAATAGAATCGGACATACACGTGGAGTACCACTTTTTTGCCAGATGTGTCACTACTAGGCCATTTTTGCTGTTGTACTTAGACGAGTACAGTGGGACCAAATGGGTTTTAATATACACGGCGGAGACACGACCTGACACATCTAAAACGAGACGACTGCTCGAAACAACAGAGATGAAAATAATCCGACGAATATCAGAGAAAAGTCTGTTGGATAGAGAGAGAAGAGAAAATATAAGAAGAGCATGCAATATAGAAGACATAAATGTATGGGTGACAAAACGAAAACAGGAGTGAAACATATCAGTAGAATGGCAGAAGATAGAATAGTAAGAATAGCACGAGATAAGTCAAAAAAAATGGACGAAGAAGTATTGGCAGACAAAAAAAGGATGGTGCGACAATTTAAACAATTTAGGAGGCTAATATTGAAAAAGTAACAGGCTTTAAAGCCTACATATGAGAAGGAAGAAGACTATATTACTGAATGAACATTATTTAAATAAAAGCATTACACAGTACAGTGGTTTTTTGTTGTGTCTGTACAGTGTGTCTTAATAAGCTGCAGTTGCAATTTAAAACAGTAGTTTATTGTATAATCAGCTAAATATAATATCTAAATACAGTGATTGCAGTTGAGAAAATACCAACTTAGAGCCTTTTAGAGAACGTAAATCCTCCTCAGTTGAGATTTGACTCACATTTGACTTTATCCCCGATCGTTAGTGCTCTGACAAGAGAGCTGACAACTCTAAACCAAACTACTAATTAGAGTGAGAGATTCGATGTTTTTGAAGCAATTTCGATGAAAATATTGACGCATTCTTGACTCCTTTTAAAAAATTTTGAACACTATGATTTTTAGACTGTTTTGACTTTTTTCGATGCTTTTTGACCCCCTTTGATGGTTTTTGACACCTTTTAATGCTTTGAGAAAAAATTTTATGCTTTTTCGTTGCTCCTTGAATCTCTTTGGAGATTTTTTGACGTATTCTCTAAGTATATAAAACATTTTCGATACTTTTAAAGTATTTCCGATACCTTTGGAAGTTTTTTTGGATGGATTTTTCAACGCTTCTTGATTCTTTTAGGCGATTTAAAACGCTTTAGATATTTTTTCGTTTCTTTTTCAATACTTTGGCACTTTTAATTGAAGAATTTGATCAAGTTTTGACTTTTAAAATACGCTTTCAACACTTTTTATGATTTTCAGATGATTTTAACTTTTTTCCGATGCTCTTTGATACTTTTTGACGCTTTTAACGTTTTTTACACATTTTTGTTGCATTTTCGAGTTGTTCGAGACCATCGATACTTTTTGACCCTTTTTGATGCATTTAAATGCTTTTTAGACGCCTTTTTGTTGCTCTTTCCACCTTTTCTAGCGATTTGTTGACGCGTTTTCATAGATTTTGAGGCATAGTCGGGGCTTTTAAAGCAGTTTCGATGCATTTGAACCAGTTTTCATGCTTTAAAGCACTTTTGATGCGTTTGAAGCATTTTAGATGCTTTTAAAGCATTGTCGATACTTTTGACGAATTTTTTGGTCACGTTTAAAACTTTTTCGTTGCTTTTCGACATTGTGACGCTTTTCAACGCATTTTTGTTAAAAATTTTGACGCATTTTGACTTTTGAGACATACTTTGAACACTTTTTGTAATTGTCTGATGGTTGTGACTTTTAACGCTTCTTACACACTTTTTTTCAAGAAATTTTCAAAGAATTATCGCTTGTTTGACGCTTTCAATGTTTTTCACCAGTTTTATATCCTTCTGATCCTTTCTATACTTTTAAACGTTTTTAGACTCTTATTTGTTGCTCTTTCGACTTTTTTGGCGATGTTTTGACGTATATTTTAAAAGTTTTTCAAGTATTTTTCATACTTTTGAAGTGATCTTGACGGTTTTGATATTTTTCAACGCTTCTTGATTATTTTTAATGGTTTTATTTTTTTCCGACTCATTTTGACCCTTGTAACCATTTTATTTCTTTTTTCAAACTTTGTCGTTGCTGTTTCAAGCATTTTTCTACGTTCTAAAGCTTGTTAGTCGCCTTTGATGCTTTTCGATACTTCTGCTCCTTTCTGATGCTTTCAAACGATTATATTCGACGTTTGTGAAGCATTTTTGATGCATTTGAAGCATATCCGATGGCGTGGAAGTATTTTCGATGCTTTTGACATTGTTTCGACGTTTCTTGATTATTTTTGACGTTTTCAGCTCATTTTAGATAATTTCTAAGACTTTGACAGTTTTAGACGTGTTTTCAAAGCTTTTGTAGCATTTAAGTCGATGATTTTGGCAGATTTTCTACTTTTTAATGCATTTTGAACAGTTTGTCAATTTTTAGTACGTTTTGAATTTTTTCGACGCTTTTAGGATTACACGTTTGTCATAAGTAATGTATTATATATGTATGTCACGTACTTAGAACTGTCTTTTTCTATGATTTATTGACTGCCTTGCCCATTTCCATACTTTCCTTGAATTAATGATCTTTTACTTAACTTAAGAAATAACGTTAATTTCTTATGATTTTCCTGTCTTAAATCAATCAATTAGAGAATGCCAGAAAAACTAACCAATTAAAAGTCATAAGGCTGAAAGACTGCAACTTCATTATTCTGTTTTGACTGGAAAAGACTGGAAGCTACTGTGGTCGTAATTGAACAAATTCATTACTATGAATCTACAAAGCCTTTACACCTTTCACAAAAAATCTTGTTCTGAGAACCAGACCTTTGCAGCCATTATAACCTCATTTTTGGAAGACAATTTGCGACCATTTTAGACTGTTTTTCAGTCGAATCAAGATATAATGGTGGGACGGGGCTATATTTGGTGAAAAAGGGAGGTGTACGAGTAATTTTGACCCAAATCACGAATTGTTTGCATGGAAAAATGCCACTTATGTGGAGTTGTGTGTCCATTTTCCAATTTAACGATTTTGGGAATTCTTTTTTTAAATTTTATTCCGCAACTCTGGTTTTTTGACGTGAAACTGTACACTAACGTTTCTAAGTTATTATGTGTTGCTGTGGCAAGACAATATTTTCTCTGTCAAGGTCTTGGCTAACCAAATATCAATATTTTCACAATTTTAGGTTCCAGAGAACTTCCAGCTTGCCCCTGCTTCCACAGTGATCGAACCGAATCAAACCAATGAAGTGCTTCTTTATAACGCCCCTCCTCAACCTCTAGAGAACGTACCTGAAACAGCCGAAGATGTCTATGATAACACTGGTACTATATTTCAACTTACAGAGAACATAAACGACAATAAAAATATGTACAAAGGAGCAAGTATCTTATGCATGTCATGCAATCAGGTGTTTACGAACTATTCTCTTTTCCAACAGCACGCCTGTAGAGATAACTTCAATGATAAGACCGCCGTGGCTCTAACAGAAGACGAAATCGAAGCGAGGATACAGGAGATCGAACAAACGCTAGGGATATTGCAAGACGGAAATACCTGCTCAAAAGATCCTCGTCAGCCGCAAGATTTAGATAGAATAGAACCTTGTAAGATATTCCAATGTCCGGCCTGCAACAAGGCATTCAAAAGCAGGTTAGCTTTTAAGAAACACATCAAGATGCACTCGTGCTGGGAGTGTTACAAGTGTAAAAAGGTGTTGATAGGGAAAAATGCTTATCTAGAGCACGTACAGTCTCATAAAGACAGTAAGATGTTTCCTTGTTTGTACTGCAAGAAACTGTTTAAGAAACCTTCAGATTTGGTAAGTAAATTAATTTCATTTATGCAAAATTAAGTATTTTTTAAATTTTTTCTGTGTAGTTGTATTCTATTCGTCAAACTCTATCACATATCACCATCGGACCAATAGGAACGGAGATACGTACCTTTTTGGTATACTGCTATGTTTGTGAACTATATTTTTATCACTTACACGCACATCTCGCTGCTATACTTCAAATTCAATAAGATTGTCAGGACGGCCATTTTGTAGTTCGTAAACACTTAATAGTAAGCGGCTATATATTTATTTATTTATTAGCAGACACATTTATTTTACTTCTCAATGATCATTTTGGCCGGTTACATCTGATGTAAGTCCGAACTAGATAAAGTATACTCGCTTTGTTGCGAAATTTATAATTTAGTACCGCGTGCAGCTTATCAGTTTCATTGAGGTGTACCTGAATGTCAAGAAAGGGTCATGCGGACATTGTTATCTTTTTCAAAAATAATATTCTTATTTCAATACGGCAACATTGTCAAAACTCGATGGCAAACAGTGAAAATAAATATTAAAATCAGGTAGTCAGAATTATTACATGAGCGCATAGTCGGGTAATATGGCATCAATACCAACATGCAGTACATCTGTTGATAAACCGGATAAAAGAAGGTGGTTTTCTGTGAAAGAAAAACAAATAATCAAATCGGTTTATAAGGGATTACGTAGAAGAAATCAAAATATGTTTATAGAGGACGTCTCGGCATTGTCTGGTGATTTAACGGAAGTATCGGCTCGTACGGTTTTTCAAATAATTCAAGGTAATTAATCACTTCAAAAACCTATTCATAAAGGACGTACAAAAATTGTATAGGACGATATTATGAAAAGTATAATCTGAAGAAAAGTTCAAGGATTTTATCTTAGGAACATTTTCCATGCCTTTGAAGCATTTTCGATGCTTTTGAAGCATTTTCGATGCTTTTGAAGCATTTTCGATGGTTGTGACATTTTTCAACGCTTCTCGATTCTTTTTGATCTCTTTAAAATTTAGATTAGATTTTTTTTCGTTGCTCTTTCTAAACTTTGGTGCTTTCTGGCGTATTTTCGTCGAAGAATTTATGATTTTCAGTTGGCTTTATCCTTCCTCATCCTTTTCTACACATTTTCTGACATTTCTAGTGATTTCTATGCACTTATTGTTGCTTTTTGGACTTGCAGACGCTTGTTCAAAGCATTTGAGGCTTTTGATGAATTTTTGATGCTTTGTGACCCTTTTATTTTTTACGCTTTTGAAGCATGTTCGATGTTTTGAAATATTTTTGATGCTTTATAGGATTTTTTGATGGTTTTGACATTTTTTCAAAGCCTCTTGATTCTTTTGGGCGCTTTTAAAACTTTTTTGATACTTTGGTGCTTTTGAGCACTTTAGCGCTTTTCGACGCATTTTCGTCAAAGAATTTGACACATTTTCTACTTATACAATACGCTGTGAACACCTCCTATGATTTTCAGACGGTTTTAACTTTTTCCAAAACTTTTTGACCCTTTTTGACGCTTTTTACGCTTTTTAGAAACTTTTTATAGCTTTTTCGACTTACTGACTCTTTTTTGAGGCCTCTGATGCTTTTGAAGAATTTTCGATTCTTTTTTACCATTTTTGATGCTTTTTGACACTTTTTGGTGCTTTTCACTCTTTTGATGCTTTTTAATTGTTTTGGGGCGATTTGTTAACGGCGATATTTTAAAGCGTTTTCGATGCATTTGAAGCATTTTCACTAGTTGTGACATCTTTCAACGCTTCTTGATTCTTTTGGACATGGTTGCGGACATGGTTTCAAAATTTTGGTGCTTTCTGACGCCTTTTGTGCATTTAACGGTTTTAGAAGCTTTTTGTTGTTGTTTCGACCTTTTTTTTTCGAATATTTTGAAGACTTTTCAATGCGTTCGAATCATTTTCGATGTATTTGAAGCATTTTCGTTGCGTTTGAAGCATTTTCGTTGCTTTTGAAACATTTTTGAAGATTTTGTATTATTTTCGATGATTGTGACATTTTTTGATGGTTTTAACATCTTTTCAGTGCTCCTCTATTCTTATATTCGTTTTTAAAACTTTTTATATACTTTTTTGTTGTTTTTTTCGATACTTTGGCGCTTTTAGACACATTTTCGATGACGATTTTGACGCATTTTAGATTTTTAAGACACACTATATTATACTCTTTTTATGATTTCCACTTTTTTTCAATGATTTTTGGACCTTTTTTTGACTCGTTTAACGCTTTTTTGCACAGCTTTTCGTTTCTTTTTTTGATGCTTTCAAGTGATTTTAGAGTATTGCTCAAGTATTTTTCGACTCATTTGGTAATTTGTTGACGTATTTTTGAAGGTTTTGAAGCAATTTCCATGCCTTTGAAGTATTTTCGATTATTTTACCATATTTTCAACGCTTCTTGATTATTTTGGACGCTGGTAAAATTTTTTAGATGCTTTTTCGTTGATTTTCGCCAATTTTCGACAGAAACCTCATATCTTATCTACGTTCTACCAAAAAGATTACTACCGTATATGTTTTATATGAAGAATCTGTATGCTTTATTTTTCTGCTGGCTATATTTTCGAAATCCTACGTAGTAGATCAAATGCAGTTTATTTTGCCCCGTACAATAGTTTGGAGGTAAATGGAACACATTTGCAACAAGTTTTGACTTTTTGTCCAGGCAAAGTATACAATCTTGCGCTGGAGTCTTCATACGGATTTCTGCTGTCTCAGTTACGTTCATACAGTCGATGGTAACATTGCTTAAGTTACTTATCTGTATGATCTCTCTTGAAACCAAATGTTTCAGATAATAACAGGCTAGTGGGTTTGTATAATTTACGATTTCTAGTTTATTTGCATATCTTTGGGGTTTTCACGTGTATGCCGACGAGGTTCTATTTACTTTGTGTTTTAGGAAAGACACCATCGTATACATACAGGAGAGAAGCCATTCGAATGCACGATCTGTCACAAAAAGTTCACTCTTCGGGCAACCCTTAAGAGCCACCTCCGAACACACGATCCTCAACAAAAACAATATCCGTGTGACGTCTGCGACGTCCTTTATTCTTCCAAAACCAGTTTGAAGATGCATATGACCTTACACACAGGTAATTTACCTACTACATAAGATATATATTCCATATATACATACTATGTTTTGAAAGTAAAAGATTGCATTTCATTTCGATAGGAACTCCACCATAGCCCGACACGTGTTTCGGGTTATTCAACCCATCGTCAGGAGCTCTTGTGGAAGTTCAACCGAAATGAAATGCAGTCTAATATTTGGCCATTATAAATAAAATAATAGCCAGGGTACGCTAGCAGCGACATCTATATGAAATAACGAGAAGTCGAGAGACCTCTCTGATAGCAAATTAGGTGAACCGCAAATTCAAAGCCTCTTGCTAGAGGCTTTCAACGACGCTAGAAGTACATTTTTACTTCGACATGCATCTACGATTCACCTTTGAAAATTACCATCTTTTTTCACTCTTTACGTAGAGAAAGACGTTTAAATGAAAGTAAAAGATTGCATTTCATTTCGATAGGAACTCCACCATAGCCCGACACGTGTTTCGGGTTATTCAACCCATCGTCAGGAGCTCTTGTGGAAGTTCAACCGAAATGAAATGCAGTCTAATATTTGGCCATCATAATGGTCATGGTGGAGTTCCTATCGAAATGAAATGCAATCTTTTACTTTCATTTAAACGTCTTTCTCTACGTAAAGAGTGAAAAAAAGATGGTAATTTTCAAAGGTGAATCGTAGATGCATGTCGAAGTAAAAATGTACTTCTAGCGTCGTTGAAAGCCTCTAGCAAGAGGCTTTGAATTTGCGGTTCACCTAATTTGCTATCAGAGAGGTCTCTCGACTTCTCGTTATTTCATATAGATGTCGCTGCTAGCGTACCCTGGCTATTATTTTATTTATAATGGCCAAATATTAGACTGCATTTCATTTCGGTTGAACTTCCACAAGAGCTCCTGACGATGGGTTGAATAACCCGAAACACGTGTCGGGCTATGGTGGAGTTCCTATCGAAATGAAATGCAATCTTTTACTTTCATTTAAACGTCTTTCTCTACGTAAAGAGTGAAAAAAGATGGTAATTTTCAAAGGTGAATCGTAGATGCATGTCGAAGTAAAAATGTACTTCTAGCGTCGTTGAAAGCCTCTAGCAAGAGGCTTTGAATTTGCGGTTCACCTAATTTGCTATCAGAGAGGTCTCTCGACTTCTCGTTATTTCATATAGATGTCGCTGCTAGCGTACCCTGGCTATTATTTTATTTATAATGGCCAAATATTAGACTGCATTTCATTTCGGTTGAACTTCCACAAGAGCTCCTGACGATGGGTTGAATAACCCGAAACACGTGTCGGGCTATGGTGGAGTTCCTATCGAAATGAAATGCAATCTTTTACTTTCATTTAAACGTCTTTCTCTACGTAAAGAGAAAGAGATGGTAATTTTCAAAGGTGAATCGTAGATGCATGTCGAAGTAAAAATGTACTTCTAGCGTCGTTGAAAGCCTCTAGCAAGAGGCTTTGAATTTGCGGTTCACCTAATTTGCTATCAGAGAGGTCTCTCGACTTCTCGTTATTTCATACTATGTTTTCTATATATGTCTCTTTACAGTTATGTTTGTTATGATTTAGGTGTATTGCATTACAAATGCCCTGTCTGCAAAGCCGAGTTCCGAACGCCGAGTGCCAAAAGAGCTCACATGGCGATGGGTCACAAAACGGCACATAATAGCAAAACCAAAAGAAGGAATAAAATTGCCAACATTTTGAGGTCTGCCAGTAACAAGTTAGTGCCACAGAGTGTAGAAGAGATTCAAGAGGAAGTACACGAATACGTGACGTACGAAGATATGCCAGTGGAAATAGATCAGGGACAAGTACGTAGTGTAATATATTTCATTTTTTTCCTTTCAAACAACCCGTTGGTGGGACAACTGTTGGGCTCTTGAAGATAGTTACTTTAGATTTTTTTATTTTGATTATAGAAGAAAATTTTTTCGTATGTCAAAAACTCGCAGCTAAAGAACAAAGTAGTAGTAGTTTATACCGGGTCTTATTAATCCCATTCGTGGGAAGAACTTTATGCTGCCCCATAGTCTGATTATGTACCTGGTGACGATTCTGATGAAGTACCTGAGAATACTCCTAAAAGTGTGGATGTAAACATCACTGCTTCCGACGAAGAAAGTTCTGATAACGCTGAAATGTTTTCAACGTTTGGCATTCCTTTCCCCAGGTAGCTGTAGCTTCCTCTGTGGTTATTGTTAGTTGTTGCCCTGGAAACCATCAGGGTCTTCTAATTCTAATGCCACAAATGGTCGCATTGCTCCTGTAGTGATCCTTTCCTAACCTAAGTTAACATGCTCCTTTTCTAAATTGGCTGCACCGTACTGAAGACGACCAATAGTAGGAAATACGTATATACAGTTGTCTTCCATCGATATACCTTTTTGGTTTTTCTGTGTTTTGCGAAGCATGCCAATATATATATATATATATATATATATATATATATATATATATATATATATATATATATATATATATAAACTGTTTTGGATGGGTTGGAGTCAATAAAAGGGGCTATTTGTTGACTATTTTTTACTCGAGCTTTCAATTGTGATTACAATTATTATCAAGAGCTTCTAAAAAATACAGCTGAATAGCTACAAATCAGCCTCAATGTCATAAATACCAATATTCAATTTTTGTTTACAAATTCAATTGTTTTTGTTAAGAAACTTTATCAAAATTTATTTCAGAGAAAACATTTATTAGAATAGGACATTTTTTTAATAATATTTTTTGTAATATGTTAGTAGCAGTTTTATATAAAAAAATTAATTTTATTTGGTGAGTTAACAAAAAAATTTTTATTTCTAGTTCAACTTTGTAAGATATTTTGTATTTTTTAGCTCGAGTTTTTTAGCTTGAAAGCTCCAGTAAAAAGTAGTCAACAAATAGCCCCTTTTATTGACTCCAACCCATCCAAAACAGTTTTATATTTTTTCCAAACGAGTCACAAATATTTCTTTTATATATATATATATATATATATATATATATATATATATATATATATATATATATATGTTGTTAGAAGATATTTCATATAATTATTTCATTTAAGATATTAACCCAAACGGAAACTCTGGACCTCACGTCGCAAATGACCAACCTCAATCTTCCTGCAGGAGCCATCCTGTCGACCATACAGGAAGGCGACATTACCGTGGATCCCAGTTTACTACAGCAATTTCAGATGACCGACGTAGTGTTGACTAATCCCGAACCGGAACCGGGATCTTCGATAATAATCGATGACGTTAGCAGTTTTCTGAATCTGAACCCTACGACCAATAATATTCAGATAGTTTCGATGCCTGAAAATGACGAAGGAGGAGTTACTATTAGTATTAAGGAAGAAACAGAGATAAGTGAGTATTGTGTGAGGAATATCTGTTCGTGACATATTTTTTTCATCTACGGCTTCTTGTTTTTGTATATTCTTCATTTCTACTTATTTTTTATCTATAGTTTTCTTCCTCTTTTGTTTCAACCTTAGCTTGATTTTTTCATATTTTTCCCCTTTTAAGTCTATTTCACTCAACTAATACTAATGTATTTCTTAAATCTCTAGCACCGAAAAAAGTTAAATCAGAAAAGTCAAAACTAGCGGTTCAGTGCGACTTGTGCTTACGACTACTGGCTTCCAAAGACGGTTTGAGGAAACACAAGAAGAACGTACACGGGCACAAGAGGAAACACTCGTGCTTTAAGTGCGACGATAAATTCGACACCAAGGAGCAGCTTGCTGTGCACGAGAAAATACATTTGGCAGCTTTGCCGTGTCCGATATGCTCGCTGGCATTCGAGAATGAGGCGATATTGGAGGAACACTTGTACAGGTAATTTGTATTTTAAAAATTTGTGTTACTGACTAAGAAATATATAATCTATCTAGGAAAAGTGCATTAAAGTTTCAGAATAACTCAGAACATTAATTAACCTCAGGTTTTACTTCTTTAATATTGATTACTTTTACCATTCTTCAAGTTTTGCAAAGGGACAAATCAGAGAGTAATGAATGTGAAGAATAGGGTGGCTGTGTTGGCAGTCAAAAAGCCACAACTCTCTTGTTGTAAACACGGCAGTAGCTGACATGTAATATAGTACATTGTCGTGAAACCAGAAGCTAATGTTACAATATTACAAGGAGCTACAATTTTCGTTAATATTTTTGACATTTAACGTGAGCGCTTCAATACATATATCATTAATCATCTCTATCTTACACTTAATTTTATATCAAGTGTGTCATTTGACCCTGTCGGTGTCTTACCAATCTGCTCTCCGATTGCATCTATCGACCCCTTCTTACTGAATTGGTTGTCTGGCATAGAAATTAGAAATAACTTTAATCCTCGGGAGATCCTTAAGAACAGTACTTTACTTTACTTTATTTTATTCTTATTTTTTATTTATCTATATTTGTTTATTTATTCTTTATATTTGATATTCTACGATTTAATATATTCCTGTTTCACTTATAGTAAATAAAACCATTCTTATAGTATAGAAATAGATTTTCATTTAGGAGCATCTCGTGATCAGGCAGTAATTGGTTTAAAACAAATATACTATACACACTCGATGTTCACTATGTTCCCTCGAAGCATTACTGCATTTATACTAAAGCGACTCAGAAACACTGGATTGAAATGTCATGGCGCCCAACGTGGGGCACAGCAAAAATTGGCTGCATTGTCCAAGTCTCACATACCAATCAGATTTGGTGCAATCAACGTACCTGATGTTATAAAAAATAGGAAGAAAGTATACGTATTGTAACGAGAATATTTTGCCTACCACAGGGTGCATTAATATAAGGGGTAGAAAATTGGGGGAAGAAACTAAGGGGGTGGAGATAAGGCAAGCAAAATAATCGCTACTGATGCGAACGGCACTCAGGGTTTCGTAGGAGAGCTGGGGTCGTGGATAAGTAAAAGATAGGGGCATTGGAATGGGGAACTACAAAAAAAGAAATAAAGGGCTCTTGGGACAAACAAAATAAAAATAAACAAGAAGCACCTCAAGGAATTTAATATAGGGCGCCACTTGAGGTGCCTAATTATGCCTATTACAACCACTAGTTGTAACTAGGGAAATAATTAGAAAACAAAATTAAAACATAAAAAACATATCTTTTTCAAATAAAAATCGATAAGGGTTGGCTCAAAAAAATAAATAAAAAATTAAGAAAATAAAATTTAACTTTTATTTTTGTGTCACCACAAACAGTTACAAAACAAATGATAAAAACAAAAAACAAAATTGAAATCATATAGATCTTTCAATGCAGTTTAGATTAAGGTCAACTTAAAAAAAAACAAAACAAATTCAAAACTTATGGTTAGTTATGTGTATAAGAATAATTATTATGACAGCCAAATCCTAATTATTATAATTTTACTTATTACAAATTTTTCAACTTGTCATGAAAGCAATTATTAATGATAAATGTCTATTTTTCACTTTAAAAAAAATTTAACAAAAAAAAGTACCTGACTTCACTAAATATTAGTTTTGGGGCTGGAACTGGATTTCTAAACGCTGCAAATAACACAAATGCGTCTCCAAGCTTCAGAATGGTCTGGAATGACCAGGGACAAACAAATAGACGAAGGAAGTTGAAGTTCGGCTGGATCATCGGGCTTCGGGTCAAAAAAAAAATTGCAAACTTCTAAGCTTGGATTTTCAAAACTTCATTGAAAATACGATGGCCTCTTATATCGTTGTAACACCTTACAAATCTTCCATTTAGGACATATTACAACACATATAACTTTCCATAAACAGGATCTGTCGGCTTTCTGAAGATTACACGTCGAGCTCTTAACTGCCACCACACTACACATTTTCCCATGACAAAAGAGAAAAAAAAAAACGAAAAAACATTACGAATTTGAAGAAAAATTCGGACTCCAATAAAACTACAAACGCTCGTGACAGCGGTTTCACCGAGAGTGACGAAATTAAAAATTTGTTCGCTTAACTTGAAAATCAACGAACTGCTGAAATAGCAAAACCAACGAACGACGTAGATATCCTTTGAAACGCATTTACATGAAAAGAAATCGCCGCAGTAAAATAAACAACAATTAAATGGATTTATTACTCTACGACGTTAGAATGATTGAAAACACTTTTCGAAAGATACGAACTAAAAAACAGAAAACATTCTTCGTTTTATTAAGACGATTTCATATACGAGGCGACTTTAAATATACTTCAAAGAATCAATCAAATTTAAAATGCTACAGTATAATATTCTCCAGATTTATAGGTTATAACATTGACCACAGACAATAGAGTTTTCTTCTTACTTATCATATGTATTTGGTGTGACGATGACATGGAGTCCTTAAAAAGATTACGAGCAACTATATATTTTACTTCTAATAATGCGTTTTAGTAGAGTGGTCCCATTGACTGTTTATGTTGGTATCAAGATATGTATAGCTGTTTATCTTGTCAATTGACTGTTAGTTTACCAAAAGATGGGTATTTAATATTTCGTATTGATATCCAGTCCATATTCTCGAGTTATATCTGATATGCGCGACATTATTGCTTGTAAACCATCTAGGCTATCCGCAAAAACTACTGCGTCGCAAGCATATCTAATGTTGTTTAGACGTAATCCGTTAACTAAGACGCCTTCCTGTAGTTGTCCCAATGCTTGCTCGAAGATACGCTCCTAGTACATGTTAAATAGCACTGGAGACAGAATTCATTCCTGTCTCACTCCTCTGTCTAGAGGACAGATATTGTCTTTGTCAACTGACCATCCACTTTAATGTTGGCAGTTTGGTTGTAATATAAATTATATATAATTCGCAAGTCACTATCATCCAAGCCCAAGATAGACATGAGCTTGTCATGTTTTACCCTATCAAATGCCTTTTTATAGTTGATATAACTAAAATATACATCGCAGTTGACATTCCTACACCTCTGGATAAGCAATTATCTAGTGAATAGAGCTTTTCCGATGCCTAAGGTATAGCGGAATCCAAATTGTGTCCATGAAAGTTGTTTGTCACATTCTTTATATATTCTGATATGTATCACTTTTAAAAACGTTTTAAGTAAGTGGCTCATTAGGCTAATTATTATTCTATAGTCTTCGCATGTTTTTGCATTTAATTTTTTTGGTATAGTTACGAAGATCGACTTTATCGAGCTTTGCGGAATATTTCCAGTTATATATATATATATATATATATATATATATATATATATATATATATATATATATAGATAGATATATTTTGTTAAATATAGTCGTTATCCATTTTATTCCTTGTTCGTCCATAAGTTTCAGGAATTCTGTATAAAATTTGCCAGGGCCAGGAATTCTGTATAAAATTTGCCAGGGCCTACAGCTTTACCATCTTTAGTTTTTCTAATAGCTGCCGTGACTTCTTCAACGGAATCGGGGGTCCTGTATGGCATTCTATGTTATACTGTTGCCTGCGATAATGCCATTATGGCAGTATATTTTTAAATTTTTGATTTCTACTTCGATTCCACTTATTTTAAACTTTGGGGATATGAACTACAAATGTCTCGTAAAAATGTTGATTAAGTGTGCGATAAGGTGCAACTTTCTGCGGAAAGAGGCAGAAAATCACCAACCGAGCCAAAAAAAGGTCGAACTGGCTATTACGCCGCTTCTACAAAGTGTTCAAAATCATTTAATCTGGTGCGATATAACCTTACAAATGTCATTGTCTTTTTGGATTGTAAATATCACAAATTACTTACTAATATACGTTATTTTTCAGTGTTCACGGAATCGCCAAGTCAAACGAAGAAACTCTTTCTTTGTTCAACTTGAAGCTAGCCTCGATGGATGATCCATTGTTAAATAAATACGGAGTAACGTACTTCAACTAAAACGTGTTTAACTCGTAAGTTATGATAGTTATTAAAAGATCTGGCTGTGTTCCTATTAAAATTTTTAGCTTTTCTGAAACTGCTGAAGAGTATAACTTAGATTAGAGAAAATTCGCATTGATTTAGTACAGATGTTATATTGTTGCCAGAAAAATATAATGTTTATTTAGATTTATAAGGTTTTTGTGCATTTAGTATACTTACTAATGAAGTCCATGGGGTTTTCTTCCTTTCAGTTGAATGTTATCATTGATCAATAATTTGTATACAGTATAATCCAGGAATTCGTGAAGAGGTGTTTGAACTAACAAAAACTTAGTGCATTAGTTTTATAAGTCGTCATTACAGTATTGCCTTGATAACAAAAAAGATTGAAGATGGATGATGTAATGCGGTGAGGTAACTACAAGAATCGATACATTCAACAAGGCGAAGCCTAAAATGTGAATGTATTTCTTCCCTTTGCCTTTTTTTTAGTGCTCAGTTTCTGTCTGTCTTCTTATATTAGATAGCAATAAAAAAATTGTATGTACGTGATTATTTCTCAAAGCAAACACATTATTACATCGTCCAAACTTTGGACTTCAAAGGATACCCGCCGTTAAGATAGGCAAAATACCCTCATTCCCAGAATTCAGTTTTTTAACCATCGCACCCAGACTCCCAGCATAATTTTAAATATTTCAAAAATTGGGTGAAACACCTTTAAATTCACCAAAAAAACATGTTTTTTCAAGGTTTTTTAGAGTTAGTAATATTCTGGATTAATTTTGAATTGTTCTTCTGAATTGTTTTCGTTCACTTTCGCTGCCACTTCTTCTTCTTCAGCCTTCATTTATCCATTGTAGGACATGGTCCTTTTCCAATTGCTTCCACGCTTACCAATCTTTTGCAATTTTCATCCACTGCTTTCCAGCTACAGCTGTTATATCGTATATCCATCTCTTTTTGGGTCTTCCCACGCTTGTTTTTGTTTTTTGAAGTCTCCAGATTATCACTTTATGAGACCATCTGTTCGTGTCTTGTCTTACTCCATGTGCTACCCATTGTCATCTCAATATCGCTATTTTTCCCATGATGTCGGTTACTTTAGTTCTTCGACGTATTTCGGTGTTAAAAATTTTGTCTCTGAGGCTTATATTTAACATGGCCCGCTGCCACTTAGATGGGAAATTCTCTAGAGACGTCCTGTTAGTCTTCGTATCTGAGTTTGTACACTTCTACACGTGCCTAGTGGTACCAAACGAGTTTGAAATGGCCAGAGTACATTGAAGTTTGCTGATTTAAATACAAAGACTGGCAAATCGTGCTTCTATGACATATACTGTCCTAAATACATTTAAGCTACAGAAAGGTTTTCACCATAGTTTCATTACACAGAGTGGACTCTTTATACACACTGGCAACACTCCACTCATATATTTGTCAATTTGAGTTGTTAACTCACGAAGTTGGACACGAGTTACGACATTCAACATGAAGATTTATTTTAAAATCATTAAAATGAGGAGACGCTTACCAATCTTTTGCAATTTTCATCCACTGCTTTCCAGCTACAGCTGTTATATCGTATATCCATCTCTTTTTGGGTCTTCCCACGCTTGTTTTTGTTTTTTGAAGTCTCCAGATTATCACTTTATGAGACCATCTGTTCGTGTCTTGTCTTACTCCATGTGCTACCCATTGTCATCTCAATATCGCTATTTTTTCCATGATGTCGGTTACTTTAGTTCTTCGACGTATTTCGGTGTTAAAAATTTTGTCTCTGAGGCTTATATTTAACATGGCCCGCTGCCACTTAGATGGGAAATTCTCTAGAGACGTCCTGTTAGTCTTCGTATCTGAGTTTGTACACTTCTACACGTGCCTAGTGGTACCAAACGAGTTTGAAATGGCCAGAGTACATTGAAGTTTGCTGATTTAAATACAAAGACTGGCAAATCGTGCTTCTATGACATATACTGTCCTAAATACATTTAAGCTACAGAAAGGTTTTCACCATAGTTTCATTACACAGAGTGGACTCTTTATACACACTGGCAACACTCCACTCATATATTTGTCAATTTGAGTTGTTAACTCACGAAGTTGGACACGAGTTACGACATTCAACATGAAGATTTATTTTAAAATCATTAAAATGAGGGGACGTACGAAGCCATTTAGTATATAAAACTTTTTTGAACAATTTTTAGTCTTTATTTCGTTTTATGCCTTTTGTTTTTCTGATTGTTGTTCTGATAATTGTATAATGTAATTTTATTGTAATTTTTCTGTATATTGTATTGTAAGTATTGTTACTATAAGTGTTCTTGTTATTGTAGATATAAATAAAATTTTTATAAACCTGCATCTGTTTTATTTACTTATGAGGATTGAATCGAATGTGGAAAAATAAACTAACCAGTGGACTGTAGACGTTGTACACAACATATCCTCGGTGCAATGCCACACCGACGTGACACACCAATGCACGAATGTGCAAAATTTTCGTTATTCACCTAAGTACACCAACAATAATGTCTCAGCCATTCCTATACTGTGCCACAACCACGAATGTGATTAAAGGCTAGGAGATGGTAGGTAGGAGATATGCACTTTCACGAAAGTCAGTCTGTATTATTCACTTTTGTTTGTGGCGGTGTGGATTTTGCAATTGTTTAACATTCGTTGTCATGTTTCAATTATTAAACATTCTCAGTTTTGTGTGTAAAAATAAACGCCCACATATGGAAAATATGTCCTACATAATAAATTGAAAGATGGTGATGAAAGATGATTCGTGATCATATTCTTTCATTTCCATCCGTGAAGCCTTATTTTGTAGGGCTTCTAGTACAAAAAGGTATTTGGATTCTTCACTAAACGTCTCTATCAAGCACAAATTGTACAAATTAAAGGGCTCAGAATTAAATGCCCATTCAGTTTCTTTTGAAAAGTATCGACGAGTTTTAAAAACTTATAACTTGGGTTTCCAAAAAGGAGCAGTGTAAAGAGTGCTTAAAATATACAAAAAATATTGGGGAAAAGCAAACTAGTTAAAGAAAACGAATGGTTTGACAAGGAGTGCCAAGAAGCAACAGATAACAAAAACACTGCATTCCTAAAGACAAATCAAGCTGATTGCACAAGAAGAGCAAAGGAATAATACCGGATCCTAAGAAGAGAAGAAAAACGATTACAAAGAAGAAAAAAAAAAAGACAATTTGAGCAAAAGCAGTTGGAAAGCACAGAATGGCTAAGAAATCAAAATGAAACTCGAAAGCTCTAGAAAAATCTAAACAAAATGCGCAGAGTTTAAGCCAAGAATAAGGAGCTGTAAGGATGTAGAAGGAAACAAAATGATACGGCCTCAATCCTAAACAGATGGGTGGAATTTTTCGATGCAAAATTTAATGGCCATCATATCGAAGAAGCTGGATTGACTGCAGGGTTGAAAGTGACGAGGAAATTTCGACAAAAAAAGTAGAACTCGCACGGAAAAACTTTATTAACCGGCGTTCTGTACTATGCAGTAGAAGTCTGTCGTTGACCACAGGTCTTAAAGTATTGAAGTGCTACGTCTGGTCCACTTTGTTCTATGGATGTGAAACCTGGACAACAAAAATAAAAAATCGTGACAAATTAGAAGCATTTACGTTATGGTGTTACCGTCGCATGCTCAGAATCCCGTGGAGAGTACACATATCTAACGAACGTGTGCTAGAGACCGTGCACAAAGAGCGAGAATTGATCAACATCATCAAAATGAGAAAGGTCCAATACTTCGGTCATATAATGAGAGGACCTAAATATCGCTTACTCCGGTTAATCATTCAGGGCAAAATCGAAGGAAAACGTTGGGTCGGAAGAAAACAACTGTCCTGGCTGCGTAACATTAGACAATGGACAGGTCGAAGAAGCAGATAACACCCTAGCAAATCGAAATGATTGGAATCCTTTCAACCCAAATGAAAGACCACCTACCATCGAAAACGTTGCCTAAGCCATTAAAAAGCTTAAAAATAATAAATCACCAGGAATTGATCAAATTTGCAGTGAGCTCTACAAGAATGGTGGCGATGCCCTACTACAGACACTGCATACGCTTTTACTTCTTGTTTGGCATAATGAGACGATGCCTTGTGAGTGGTCTCAAGGCGTGATATGCTCATTACATAAAAAAGGTGACCAGCTCCAGTGTGACAACTATAGAGGTATAACCTTGTTAACAACTGCTTACAAAATACTAGCAAATATTCTCTACGAAAGGATGCAAGTTTACACAGTGGACATAGTTGATAAATATCAAGCTGGATTCATTCCAGAAAAATCAACAATTGACCAAATTCATTCAATAAGACAGATTCTCGAGTAAACATTACAATACAATATTGAAACCCATCACCTATTCGTTGACTTCAAGGCCGCATACGATAGTTCAAGAGAACAGTGCTATACCAATCAATGCATGAGTTTGGTATACCAGAGAAACTTATCCGATTAACGAGAATGACAATGTCCAACTTAGAAGCCACTGTTAGAATACAGGGAGAGAATTCTAGATCCTTTGAGATAAAGGATGGACTCAGACAAGGGGATGCTCTGGCTTGCCTCCTATTTAATATTGCCTTAGAAAAGGCAGTCCGAGGTACACGAATTAGGGATGGCGGTACTATTTACAATAGATCGATACAAGTCTTAGCATATGCTGATGACATTGACATAGTAGGGCGTAGCAAGCGAGATGTTGAGCAATATCTCCTAGAATTGGAAACAGCGGCGAAACAGGTCGGTCTAGTCATCAACGAAGCAAAACCAAGTACATATTGGTTACAAAGGATCCGATAGCAAATGAGGAACGAGAAACAGTCTTTGGAAGTCATACCTTTGGACGTCTTGACAACTTCACATACCTTGGGTCGCTATTGACTGCTACCAATAAAACAAGCGAAGAAATCAAAAGACGAATAAATCTTACAAATAGGGCATACTATGGACTCCAAAAGCATTTCCACTTAAGAAACATTCAAAGAAGAACTAAAGTTATTATATACAAAACATTGCTGAGGCCGGTCCTCACATATGGAGCAGAAACATGGACTCTATCGCAGAAAGATGAAAGACTTTTGGGAATATTTGAGCGTAAAATACTCCGCAAAATATTTGGAGCTATAAAGGACCAAGGGCA